TGTTGTTACACACGCTGTTGTATCTTCTGCATTTCATGTTGGCTGCTTCATTGTTTCCTCTCGATGCATGAAATTCGATGTCGGTTACGTAAATGTAATGATAATTTGGAAATTCACATCGCTATATGGCAATCGCCGACTCAGAATATGGTGTGTCACAATCATTTCGCGCCTTCAATCGCGACAAACTTCAACGTCAATCAACGACCCAGCGACGGCCACAATGACGACGACGACGATGACGATGGCGGTGGCGGTGGCGACGAAGAAAAAATTTTGAAATTTTTGACATCATTTCATTTGACTTTAGTTCTCAATGTCAATGCGCACAAATTCTTATAAATCTGAAAAGACAAAGTCAAAGATCGAATATATCCCGTTCCTTTTTTTTCGATTTGTCGTTATTTTTTTACATTATTTCCTCTCCATCTAATGTCAACGGGCATTTAATTTGTCTGTGCACAAATCGCTTTTATCTCGTAACGACAGCTTTGTCTTCATGAATTTAGCGACGGTATATGCTTTTTATGACGAAAAATTTAACGACAGTTCTTAATTTAACATTTCAACAGAACCTTGAAATCAATTGATAAAATTCTCCGTTGGATCGAATGGTTTCGATTGCCTTCCTTTCGTCGAAACCGTCTCAAGTCAAGTAAAACCGTATCTGAAGTGATCTATCCACAATTTCGAAAGGCAAATCTCTCTTCTATACATACCTTATTGGTTTTAATCCATCTACCATTTTGCAGCCAATAGCAACTCAGTAATTTGCAGAAAACTATTCGGCACTGAAATTATAGCAAACAACAAAGAATCGGCCTTGAGCATGACAACCACACATAATTCGGCATTAAAATTAATGCTCAACTACCAGAAATTCATTCTCAAATCCAACTGACCATGTTGTTGTATTATAAATGGATTGCGGTTCTATTTTTTTTTTTCATTCGGTCGATATAAGAAACTGTCAATGGCGACAACAATGTGTGGTGTTGCCTCACCGCATCGCATGCATTACCAATGCCCCAAAAGTGTTTGAACTCTATTGTCGATTTTAATCAGATTCGGGTGAGTTTCTAAGTTGCTGAGTTAGTAGTCATTTGGCGGATATTTGGTTTTCTTTAATAAATTAGTGATTGTGTGTGTATGTGCGAGAGCGTGATGAAGCGTTTTCATGGTGGAAAAGTCGGACGATACAAGAAACTGTGCCTTTTTCCCCTCGCGCACACAAAATAACCTAACCATTCGGTTTATCGTTCGAAATTGTTATTGTAGACATGCTCATGAAATAACACTTTAACAAATGCAATTCGAATCGCACTTTGTGTGCTGGTCATTTTGATTGCGTGAATACTATCAAACCATTCGAGTTATTTGATTAAATTTCGTTTTCATGTTCTTTCGATTGGCCCGAAATGCCGTTCGACTTTCGTCAAATCGTTTCATATACGTAAACACCAAATGTTTATGTTTCGGCATTAAAATCGTTGGTCGTGGGTTATTTTCTTTGAGAGGTAGGTAGGTAGGTAGGTAGTATGATTGCGTGCACCTGCACATACGTCAAATATCGCTAATGAATGAACATCAATTTTTCTATCGTCCGTTTACTGGAAAATTGGAATTCATGCATGTTAAATTGCGGCGGCTTTGTTTTCCTTTATGCCTCGTGTGTGTATGCATTGTTTTTTCCTTGGCTTTCCTTAGCCCCGGAAATCGAGTCAAATGTCGCAAGACAGAGAAAACCAGGCTCAGGCAACAACAACAATGCGAACAATTTGGTTCACTTTGACTTTTCACTTACAAACACTTATCACATTCGATCGCATGTTTGAACATGATCGAAACGCTCTTCGTTTCTCTACACAAAAACCCCATTTATGAACTCAATACTTCATTTTCAATCAATTTTCCACATATTTATTTCGCATTAGCCTTGTCTACACGATTCAGTTTCAATTGTCAATAGCCCGCCGCAAACACATATCGCGATGCTGCTAAGAATCGTCACGATTTTTTCTGCTGCTGTGACCGCTGCCACCACCGCGTCTGTATGGAACATCAGAGCATGTGTACGGTGCATATTTATGTATGCCATTTGGGTTTGGAGCGCACCATTTAATCAATAGCGATGATGCCATTTTAAGTGAAACTTAAATCGAAGTAGAATTTCCATTATGTATGCGTTTCGAGTGTAATTCGTGAACATGTCCCATTCATAATCAAATCCAACCCGACTGGCTGGCTGGCTGGTTGACGAAAAACGACATGAGCAACAGTAATGCAACGAAAAGATTTATATTGATGAAGAAAAAAAAAATATACAAGGCATGACAACCGAATGCCATTAATGTGCGCGATGATATGCTTTTAATGCACACTTCTCGCAAGTGCGCAAAGAAACATTCAAAGTTACGGTTTGCATGTAACACAAGGTGAACAAGTCATTGCTTTGAAAGAATGCACTGAATTCGGTACACGACAGGGCTGCTGCTGCTGTTGTTGCTGTTACAACTCATTTAGATTACGACAAAGTATGCGTGCTCACAATTGAATTTACTTTTTAAAAAAATCGTATGCGATTAGATTTGATGGTGACGAAGCCAATGGACATGGCTTTTAAAGAGGGAGAACCGCACTGTGGATTTCGAAATATTTGCGATGAGTGGCAATTAATGTGCCAGCTGAATGTGTCTGCGTTACATGTAATGTACCCCGTGTGAAATTGATGTCAACACACACACACACACACACATAGAATACGGCCTTCAGGAACCTCACAAACCAAAATGAATCAAAGACGAAAAAGTGGCCAACACATTGGTCTTTTGCATGCGTGGCGCATTTTAACATTTTCACACACTTTGAGTGAAAACATGCACCTGAATAATATGTTTTGTTTATAAAACCCTCTTTTTTCGTTGACTCAGAAAAAAGGTTTGAGGTTAAAATGGTCGGCAAAAGAGTGTGGCTCGATCCCATTATCTGCTCTGTAATTTGTATTATCGCTTTGCTGTTTTGCATTCAGCACATGGCATTTCAGACCATGCTGGCACACATTTTAAGCCAATTTCTTCTTTGGTTGTTGAGTATGCACTTCTGGGGCGATATCATGCCATACCTACAGAAAAAAAGTCATGTGTGGCACATTTCTTTCCTTTCTTATTCTCCATTTTTTGCACCGTAATTGTGATCTCATGCGTTGCAAGCGTTTGCAGTGTAACCCAAAAAAAAAACGACCAAAACACAGACACAGACAAAGTAAATGCAATAAATCCATCAGCATTTCTTTTTTATGGACCAGTGCTGATCATGATATCACTGCAAATATGGCGGTTTTGAAAACAGGTTGAAACAGAAAACAAAGCCACTCTGCTCCGGCATTGGCGGTGGAAATCGAGAGCGGCTTCATATCCAATTACCGTGGTGTGTGTATATGTGTTGTGTCAAAGCACTTAACCGCTGCTCGATCGGCTTCAAAAATGATCCCATTTTATGAATTGATTCATGAAATGCATCCGCAGAAGCAGCGTATTGTGTGAGTGAATTGCGGCAATTCAATTTCGTACCTTAAATCCACGATGCATTTGATTAAGTTGTTATTGACATCAAAACTTGTTTGTTTATGTATGGTAATTTATCAAAAGACTTTTTAAAATAAAACCATTTCCGTAAGATGGCCACAGCCCAACAGACGGTTAGCATACAAAAACATTTCACATGTGAAATGGGCTTTGCTCCAACGAAAGTAAACGCTGATTGTTAGCCTCACAGATACCTAAACTACACTGACTCAATTCCGACTCTTAATCACTATGATTTAATGCTAATGATCGGTGTAAAAGTCATTTGTGCAGTTTAAACAAATTATAAACGCAAAACTTTCCTCTGGCATCGGTCTTCAGTGTGCGTTGCGTTGTTTCTTTCTTTCTTTTTCTTCGTTATTTGCAACATACGGCGTACGTGTGAGCCGAACACAGACATTCAACGTTGCACAAAATGCAATTCACCCATTTCGATCGTTATCACTGATCATTTATGATCGTTATTATATATCGATTGAGTACACACTCCTGATGCTCACTTTTTCTGTTGTCGTCGTTGTTGTTGTTTTGCGGTTGTGAAACGGAATGCGATTGAGAAGAGTTACAAACATTTTCACACTACACATCGCCAAGTTTTTTTTTTTCCTTTTTCTTGTTATTTTTTTCGGATTTTTTTTTTGTTTTTGTTCGGAGTTTAATCCATCGATGTTGACATCGAATATCAGAGAGACTAAAATTACACGCATATCAAATAAGACTGCAATCAAGTGGCAAGAGCGTGAGATAGATAGAGAGGAGTAGCCAGAAAAACATACATAGAATCAAAATGAAATTCAAAACCCGTTCTCTCTCTCTCTCTCTCTCTCTCTCTCTCTCTCTCTCTCTTGTTTACTATCATCGCTTGTTTGTGTTGATTCTTTCCAATTCAATCGTCTCTTTCTCGAAAACACCAATCAATATCATTTCTGCCGCGTATATGTACAAATTCCAAGTTTGTAAAATCGACAAGCACATTTGAATATCAACAATTTGAGAATATTAAAACGAATGAAACGATGAAGACGAAGGGAAAGAAGCAGTAGGGGAAAAAATTGGAAGCAGCAAACAAATCAACACACAACTTGCATACGCGTCCAATTTACTTATCACCGAAATGACGATGTGCCACTCACACATTTTTAATTGTCGATTGTTGAATTTGTATGCTGTTGTTTTACGCAAAAAAAGTTGTATTAGGTTCAAATTATGTGCTTATTCTCTTTTTTTCACCTTCAATCAAATGATGTGTTATATTGCTGTGTGTCGCGCGACGATTTTTTATAGTGTTAATCGTAGCAACATCACGCTTGGCCAATTTGTACCGCGATTGTTTTTTTCATTTCCTTCCGATGTTGTAAAATAAAACGAAGAAATAATCGGCCACCGCTAAAGTGACAATTGTTTTTATGGACTTACATTTATTTCCCTAGTTTATTGATGAATTTCGTCTAAATCCCCGGATTTAATTGATCAAGCACATGGATCTTGATTAAAAATGCACTCAATTTATCACTTTCTCAATGATGAAGCTGAGATTTGTGAGCGTGTTTACAAATGTTATTCTCAATATGCCACCCTTTATTATTGAACAAAAAATCAACTGCAATTGCGTAGTCTTTGCAATTATGTTTCACGAAGGCTATCAATTAAAAAAAAAACTGAATGAAACCAATTAAATGAAAATAACAACAGAACCGAGATTCTTGTTCACAACACACTCTGACACACGGTAGCACACAACTCTTTCTTTCAGTCTATCTCAATTGGTGTGTAAACAAAATGCGAATAACATTTGCGATTCTATTTCTTTTCTTTTTTCTCTTCTGCTTGTCTTCTCAACTGCACGATTCTCAACACAAAAGTATCATGCGTTTCTCATTTGTGTTCTCTCTCTTTAGTGCACACTCTCAATTTGTAGGCTCTGATTCACGTCGAGAACATTTGCTACTTGATACTTTTATCATTCAATAGAAAACGAAACCAGCAACGAGCTACGAAAATAGACGGAAAAAACAAAAACAACACTCCAAATTCACGAGATTCACCTTACTGCGCGCGAGAGATATATAGAGAGACGTTTGAACACTTTAACTTACAACTGAAGACTAACACCGAACGGAATGTGTAGCCAAAAACCGATTTTTTAAAAAGTGAACCAGCAGTAACATAAACCTCTTCGACTCTTGTCTGCCCCGTTTACAATACAACAAAGTCGATAACGCTAGAGCTATGCTGCTGTTGCTGCTTGCTTGCTCGCTCGTTCGCCTCTCTCGGTCGCTGTAAGTGGCTGGTACGTTTGTGTTTGTGTGCTGAAGTCATGCTACATTCAATGCTTTACTCTTTCAACGCGTTTTGTATTTAGGCTGCAAAGCACCGCCACACGTTATTCACTTCGCGCTCTTAACTCTGCTGTGTGGAAACTACTCTATTTCTGTCCACGTATTTGTGTTACTGTGCTTACTTGCTTCGGAAATTGAAAATAACCGAGCGGTAAATGGTCATTGCTCATCGCATCGCTTCGTGTTGCGTATTTTCATGAGAGAGAGAGAGAGAGAGAGAGAGAGAACGTTTTTGGTGTGTTATTTTTTTCTTGCTGCTGCTGCTGCTATTGTGGCTGCTAAAGTTGGCTTGCAACATACAGACTAATTATATTCGACTATGGCGTTGGAAGAGAAATCACCAACAGGTTAGGTTTTGTTTGTTGTTGATGTTTTTTTTTCTTATGCTAGCAAAACCAAATCCTTGCAAACATACACACACACACAACCACTTCTTGTTTTGCTTCGTCTCCTTCGTAGTCCAATTTATGCGTCTTTTCGTTCTGGCTGTGCTGGTATGCGTTTGATATTATAGTTTGTTTTTATTCGCTAGCCACCCGGTTGATGCACAGACAAAGCGAAAACAATTTATCTAGAAGAGAGAGGATAAAAAACACACAACATGTATGAATCGAAAGCGATCGGAATTCACGATCGATGCGAAAAAGATTGATCTATGTTCAACGGCTGAATTCTTTACACTACGATCTTCAATGGCGATGTATACAATAGACTTTGAGAATAAAAACGCCTGATTTGCATGTGTACAACTCATTAAAAGCAACGGTTGCATATTGTAAATTAACATCATTTCATCGGTTTATTTATACTCTCTTTCTCCCTCTAACTCTGTGTGTGTGTGTCTTTTTGCATGTCTCTCTCAATGATCATTTAGACAATCACAATATGACCATATTCATCGTCTATTCTCAGAGAATTTACATACAACACACACTTTGCGCTCATTTCATCCAACTGAACGTATGCCTATTGACAATTCGCTGCAACCAATGCCCGTAAACCATTTACATTGCGATCTTTCGTTGCAGTTTGATCTTTGCACATCAATGTGAATGTATTTTTATTTACAGTGTTTAATTGGTTGTACCTATCTTGATTGCGTCGATTTACCACGCTGAAACGATGCGTCATCTGCATCGAAGCATTCGAAAACGTCATCAGAGCTGGGGGGTTTTCCAACCAATTCGCTTCACATATGAGTGCGTTCGTTTCAGAATCAGCCATTTGTTCCATTTTTATTCTAAATATTCGCAAAAAAAAAACAACAACGACAAACAAAAAATTACTCCATTACCACCGCTCACCGTGCGCTTAGTCATGGAAATAGCCCAAAACTGATAATGACGACATATCTACGTCTTACACATTCTTCTTGGTTGCAAAATATTATTGGAATGTTGAGAAAAAGAACGAATCTGGTTCGTTAAAAAAAAAAAAATAGAGAATTGAAATCAACAAGTTGTTTACGTACATATATACAACACCTTGCACACGATGTGCTCGAGTCGTGTTTATCGGATGAAAATCCACTATGAACATATTTTATCGATCAAACATTTTTCGCATCCACACAATTTCCTTATGTTAATCAGTTGAAGGCAAGTATATAGGTTTTTGCACGCGAAGGGCAAAATCATCTAGTTTCGATTTTCATCACAATCGAATTTGGGTTAGTCAATTTGGCAGCGATACAACACACAGTCACACAGTTCCACCGTCGCACAATTGCTTATAAGGTGAGTTAAAGTTGACATCGGATTAAACCGTCATCAAAAAGTTCTGAGTAAATTATTGCGTCTGGCCAATGTAAATACCACGCAATTTTTTGTTGAAACAACAAATCATTGTCATTTTAAATGAAAAAGTGAAACGAACGAGAAAAGATCAAATCATAACATTTTAGCTGAACATTCATTCAACATTCTGGACTACTCAAGCGCGTTGCTATTTAATCACTTTCATAGAAAGATTATGACTTGGTGTTGAGCGAACGAACGAAAAAAAAAACGTATTTGTTTTTGCTTAAATCCAATGGAAGTACAGTGAACAAACCAACAGAAAAGTGATCATGAATGATGATCGATGGATGCATTTTACGCAATTGCCATTGGTTTTTGCCACTTTTCACGCCAATTTATCTCGCCGCAAAACGAAAGAGAACCAAGAAAAACAAACATACGAAAGCGAATCGAATAGATTTTTCGTCAAGTTTATACACCTCGCTCAAAGTACTAAAACGTTGTGTTTTTTTCTTTCTATCATTTACTCTCTCTCTTTCTATGTGAGAGAGAAAACAATTTTTCAAGTGCACGATACACAACCAGATAATAAAAGATGATTATTTCCATGATTTTATTTTACCTTCCTTTTTGTTGCGTTGATTCCTCGGTATATGGCAAATCAAACCACAACAACAACAAATAAATCATGCAAATAATTGTTTTATGCAAATCAACGAATCCGTTTCGTTTGCAAACTAAGCGAAGGTTATGATCGATACTTTGAGAGGCCTATTTCCAGTGTTAGCCATAATAAAATCGATCCCGTATTGTGTGTGTGTGCGTTTGTGTGCGTCATGATAGTAATTAATTGGTTGGAATCAATTTTCGGTTGGAAATTATAGTCCAACGGTTGATAGCTTTTTAAATTGCTCAGCATTTTCGAAGATTGCCTATTCAATTCACAGAATTGTAAGTGGCCGAGCTTGTAAGCATTTTATTTTTCGGTTCTGGCGCTTAACAATTCAAATTCATGTTTACAACGCTTTCAGATTGATTGTTGATGCCTATTTTTGCACTTGATTTTGACGGACACACTTTCAATGTGTTTTCTTTTGTATTCGCAGCTCGCGCAACCTTTTTTTTTGCGGAAATCGCTTTGAAAATGACTGAATCAAGAGTGAGTACGCTGAAAATTACTTTCATTTTGTCTATGATCACTCTATTATGTCTTGAAGATAATAATAATTGTGCAAATTGAAAAAAATAATTTCCAGCATAATTCGTTGGTGCGACTATTGCCCACGTATCGATTAGAACCGAAGAATCCATTTCATACCGAGAAATGTGAGAGTATTTTGAAAACGGTACTTGAATCTGCCTTCGATGAATTTGAATACACGGCCGAAGCCGCTGAAGCAATGGTGCAAAAATTGAGCCAAACCATCTTGGCACAAGTACGAAAGCTCAACTTTGACAGGTATTTTCTTGATTTGTTCTTTACACACACACACTTCCTCTCTCTCTCTCTCTCTCTCTCTCTCTCTCTCTCTCTCTCTCTCTCTCTTTCTCTCTCTCTCTTCTCAGGTACAAATTGATTTGCATCGTTTCCATCGTACAAAATTCAATGCAAGGTCTGTGTGAGTCATATCGATGTTTATGGGACAAAAAACTTGATAAAATTGCCGCTCACGTTTACGAAACACCAAATCTACTTGCAATCGCAACGGTTTATGGTCTTTATTTTGATTGAATTTTTCATAATTATGCCGTTGTTCATGTTAATTGTTAAGCAGAAAAAAATATTCCCCTTCGTTCGCTGTTGTTGTTGTTGTTTTTGTTGTTATAGTTGGAGGCGAACTGTTTTCGATACAGTATGCAAATTATGTCTATTTTTTTGGAAAGTATTTTGATTATATAACAAGAGAGATCTCACACAATCTTCAATAAAGAAAAAAAACTCTTTTACGTGCTAAGACAACCATTGTTTGTTCTACAAAAGATTTCAATAGTTATTATTAGCGTCGAAGAGAACCTGACCTTTTGATATGACAATATAAATTGATTCGATTGCCAATCGATGGATTGGATTTGTAATAATCTGTTTGGCATATGTCAATCGATAGAATAAGACGGTAATCGAAACCTTCTGCAAAGAGCCTTTGCCAAAGACAAAGCCCCGATACATTTCATTCAAGCGCCAAATGTTACACATTTTCGAATAATTCTTTGAGTTAACATTGATTCTCATTCCATTTGATGTCGATCGAAAAACTAGTTGTTAAATTTTGATTTGTTAAAATCGAAAGTGTTGGATTTTCTTGCGAAAAAAAAAAACAAATTTTCATACATTTTCGAGTTGCTAACAATGGTTTTCCTACTTTGTGCGTTTACATCTTTTCACATGAACCGAATTAAAAAAAAAATTATCACGTACAGATATGTTCTGAGTTGACCTTCACTCGAAAATGTCAATCAAAATCGAAGTTAAAGAGAAATAGAAACCATTGTAAATATTACTATAGCAACTCATAGCCGCTTGTTGGTTGCTCCGTCAAAAGTTGCTGCTTAAAGCAAATCGACTAGAAAACTCAACGAAGAAAAAAAAAACTGAAACGTTTCAGATTGAATGCGGTTGAAATACATACAGTTCAATTCGCTTGCGGTAAATTCGATCTGAAAGGTGTAATTGGTGCAAGAGCACAATGCCAAGAAACGCATAGAATTTCCAGTGCATTTCCCTCGCCTTGCCTCGTCTTCAAGTTGAATGGTTCAACGGTGTGGCTGTTTGTGTATGTGTGCAAACGAGCACGCGCTATTTCATTCTTATGACAAACACTTTTGTTTTCTCATTCTCGTCGTCATGGCATCGGAACTATTAACCACTTTCAAACATAGCTAAAGTTCATTGGAACAGATCTCTGACCAAAGAAAAATGTCCAGTTTTGTGTACATTTAAGAAAATTTTAAGTAAAAAAAAAGTTATCTCCACGAAAAACGTATAAATTGATCGAATGGATTGGTCGAATGTGTTGTCGATCCCGCCAAATGAGTTGACATTGGGTGTGTTAGAGGCGATTCCAAATCATTTGTCTTCGATTGATGTGAATGAATTGAATATTGAAGAGCTGCGAAATTTTTTCGAATTGAGTCGTTTTCTAATCAATAGGCTTTCGAATGACGTGCAAAAACATAAGACATTGGGAAAAGGTCAGTTTAATGAAACGTTTTTTTTTTTTCACATGTTACTGAGCAAACCAATTTTTTTTCTGTTCATAACTTCCGGTTAGATTCGGTTGGCGATAAGAAATTGCTCAAAGGCAGTGAAACCAATGAATCTTACTACATTCAAACCATTCAAGAGGTAAGGTTTCTCAGCGCAGAATATGGCGTATTTCCTATTAGTAATAAATTAATGTGATTATTTCCCCTCCTCATCACGCTCATCAACACAATATGGAAATGGAATTTGAAAAAAAAAAAACAAATCAACTACTCAATAAATGATGGTTGGCAGTTAAATCGTGAAATTGCACAGCATGTATTCAACAAAAAGGCCACAACCAACAATGAAGATGGTACTGTGAATGCGTCAAACAGTGCCGATGCTGACTCATCATTGCATCCGTTGGCAATTGATACGAAAAAAGATTTGCTGTGTAAAATCCACGTGAAAAACAAATACATCAAACGATTGCTCAGCGAAAATGATGCGTTGAAAGAGGAAATTGGTCGTCAACAAGAGCAAATACTTGTGTTAAATGTTAGTTTAAAGCAAACGGCTTACAAATTAACCAAGGCAATTGGTGATTTGTCGGAACAAAAGAGTCGCAACCATATGACGGCCGATGATATGGCCGATTTACATGCCAAAATCAATAGCGTACGCGAACAGATGACACGCATCGAATTCGATAAACAAAAGTATAAACACGATGTACTGTATTTGGGCGATGAAATCCAGAAGAAAATCAATCAATGGAATGAACTGTTGCGCCGCAAATACAGTAACCATCAAACGGATGACAAAGTCACGACACTCGATGCCAACGTGAAAATCAAAAATTTCGATGATAATGCCATCGGTCCATCGAACGGTGCCAATAATGTGATCGATGAGCGTTACGATGAAAATCGCTTTGAAGTGAATGTTTTGTCGCAGGCAATCAATAAGCGAAATCTTATCATCACCGAAATGGAAAGCCTATTGATTGATTTAACAATGGAAATATCCCAGTCAGCCGTTGTCATCAATCGCATTATCAAGAATTTGTCCAAACGTGAAACCAACTTTGCAACCAATTTGGAAAAACTACGCACACATTTGGCGAAACTGCTCGATCGTCCCAATATGTTGGAGCATAATGGTTTGCTTGATCGTTCAAGTAAGCTGGAGCATGTTGGCAAAAAAAGTAAAAATGAAATACAAACCGTTTCGAATAAAGGGCATTCAGACAAAATCGCTAAAACGTCAAACCACAAGGAAAAATCCCGACGAAAAGTAAACATTTAATTTTTAAATGATTCAATGACTGTGAAAAAAGGAAAAAAAAATCGAAATAAATATTTATCGTCGTCGTTGTTGTTGTTGTTGTTGTTGTTTCGTAATATGAGAAGAAAATCAGCATTTTTTATTTAAATTCTTTATTTGTTTAAGGGAGCACAATGGACTTAAACTAGGAATTTAATTTAGCATTCATTTAGTTCTGTTGTTTGTTTCTCACTTTACATTTCACTTATAATTCATCCTAAATGTAGTTTCTGACATTTTCATCTAATTTAAATAATTTTGGGTTCTTTTTTTTTACAATGGACCATATTCGGATGATGATCATTCGTGCGTATGTGTATATTTGTGTGAATTGCGCACATGGAAAAGCTGCATTGAGATTTCTCTGCATATCGATAAATTTTAAAACACACGAAGTCACCGAACGATATTTCAGCACTATGCTCTACTCACGAATAAATCCGATTTATTCGATTGGGATTTGATTGAGCAATTCAAGTTAAAAAAAAAGAAAATAAAACCAAGCAATCGAAGAAATAATTTGAATTCTTCACAAAATGTGCTTAGCGGTAATGTTGAGTGTATGTCACAACCGAAAAGCAAATCTGCACTGTAAATGCTATCGTCTAAATTTTGGAGAGCAAGAGACATACAGTGAAAATAAGACGATTCAAACAATAGATGCATGTCTATCAGTGATGGAAATGCTTACGCCACTGTAGTATATCCACTGGCTTATGCTGAAAGTAAGCGTAAGCCAACCATAAGCAATGAATGCGTTTAATGTCATTCGACAGCTGGATAATTTGTATTGGCTTACGACAGCTTAAGCAAAAGTGGAAAATTGTCCAGCCTATTTAACAACACTGATGTCTATGAAATGTTCTGTTCTATATGGTGATTTTTCCTGACTATGAATGAAACGGACTAAATCTATGAAATCGAGCAATTGAGAATTACTATACAAAAATGTAAACATTTTTTCTGAGTGTCCAATAAATGTGTTTCTTCTCTCATATTTTTTTTCGTTTGTTTTTTTTTTGTTTGTTTTCAAAATAAATGTAAAAAAAAACAATGAATTTAATATTTAAAATAGAATTAAAAACCTAATCTCTGTCGATTCTTTGTTTTTTTTTCTGTGTTGGATTGCGCTGCATTTGGGCTGGTTATTCGACTCCATGCGCAAATATCATCACTAATCCTGGTTCGACCATTACGTCATCGCTCATATGCGGGTTGTCACAGCTTAACACTAGTACGGCTTGTTTACCTGAAATGCAATTTTGAACATGTTAGAGCGGATTACGGTGTGAACATTTGATTGATTAATGAGCCAAACACAAAAAAATTTGTCTCTTTTTGTTCGATTGGCCACGATTGATGTTTGCATACCTGGAATTCGTCTACACACATAGTTATCGTACGTCCGACGGTTGTTTTGTCGTGTTTCCAGTGAATTCAGTCCAGGTGGCCATCGTCTCTCATGACACTTTTCCATTAATACTTCTAAAATGTGTGGCGGACAACCGGATTCGGATAGTGCACGTTTGATCATCATCTGTTGGTTAGGAATGAAGGAACAAAAAGTGAAGTGAAACCAATTACTTTCAGTATTACTCATGTAAAACGATGCATTAGACAGTGTAGTGATTTAAAAGTCTAAAAATGGCCAGCAACAGTAACATAACGCGCTAAAAATCCACGCAATTCTCTTAATCCGTTGCACTGGCAGCGCATTTAGACTGTGGCTTAATTCTCAGATTCAAAGCTTGGCGTGTGTTGATAGCGAAACTGAAGTTAAATGGAATGCATGCAGCGGTATGCTTCATTCAAACCGTGAAAAATTACCTGTAAAGCATCATCTGGCGTTGAAATCATACCACCCCAGCGTGTCACACGTGCACGTGCCAATGAATTACTCCAACGTACAACTTCGTCGCGTTCCATTTGATCGGCAATTGCTCTCATCGCTGGATTTGACACTCGCATCGCTCGCATTAGCTCTTTGAACAATTGAAATTCCCGCTTTAATTCATTTATCAACAGATTTTGATCACTGATTTCATTTTTCATATCGACTAATTTCTGTTGCTGCGAATGGATCACCGCACGCAATTCACGAATGCAATTATGATCTTTAAATTCATCTTTGGGTATAATTGAGCCGCAGCCACGTTCACATGGTAACGGTTTCTTTGGATTGTGCTCGCATTCTTCCAGATGATTGCTCAATGCGTCCAATTTTAAAATTTGTGTGCATCCATAAATGGCGTTATCACATGATATGCTCAGTCTGAATGGTGTGGGTGAATGAGTGAGAGAAAGAGAGAGGAAAAAATGAGAAAATTAATTTCAAATGAGAATTGATGTAAATTTGGCTTTTGTAGCCAATGAATGGATGCGTTCCGTACCTGGCTAGTAAATTCTTGAGAATGCGCGGCACTGGACGCAAATTTGTCGTTGTGATTGCGTTTCGGTCAACGGGACAGGTGGGCTGTCGTGATAGCCATTCGGTGATGCAAGCCCTACAGAATGCATGCTCGCACACCGCCGCCTGTAGCGGTTCCTCTAACACACCAGCACAAATGGGGCAAACAAGTTCTTCGTCAACATCACCTTGGAACCGAGTCAACTCGTAACCCATTTTATTGTTTGTTTGTTTGTTTGTGTGTGTGTGTTCTTCTGTTTGCTGCTATGTTTTATTCAAATTGTGCACTTCAAACGGGATCAATGTCGGAGCTCAGCTGACACGAGTCCTTATCCACGGTCTCAAACTTGTGTTTATATATTTTCACGTTGACTGTATATCTCTTTGAGCTTTGTTAAAAAAAACAATTTTCAAATGTCTTTCGTTTCGAAGAATTTCAACACTTTAACCGAGTTTTAAACGGCTCAATTCTCAAACACCACTCATTTCGTCAGTTTATTCTGCAAATAAAAAGAAAATGGAAGAAATGTGAGAAAGAAAACAACACAAAAATATTGACAAATCGCATTTTGAATCATGATAATCTTTAATCAGTGAGTCAATCGATTGTAAATACTATCAAGACGCAAAATCGAAAAGACAAATATGATGCGTAAGAACAGTAGTTTTCCACTGTGTGTCGCCGCCATTCGTGGAGCCACCCACTATTTTGTTTTTCTTCTTTCGTACGAAACAAGAGATAAGTAGCAATAAAAAGCAAAGAAAAAACGCAACTTATTCTTAAAGTGATGATTAACTACGCACGACACACAAAACGACACATATGTTGTTATTGACTGCACTGAGCGTGTACGTTATGTTACATTCAAACAAAATCGAAACCACTTTCGTTTCGTTTCTTTTCTTTCATTTGATTGTTGTTTTATTTTTTCGGGGGTTCAGATCGTGTACTTTGCGATCACCGATTTTGCCAACGGTGGATAAATTATCAATTTCATGCAATGGTAGGAGACAAGAAAATTCAAATGAAAACCAATGAATTGTAGCGAATTTTGTGGGCGACATACGATTTATTTGTTCATTCGTTTTATTTGCGACAGAATATATACGGTGTTGTGTGTGTGTGTGGCTGTGGTTGTTGTTGGTATCGCTTGATGTGATTCGGTTCGCGAGACAGTGTAAAATTGTGAATGACGACTCAAAGCCAAAACGAGAAGAAAGAGATCTATATCAGCCGAAAGTATTGCACCGCATGCTTTCTTTTGCTGCTACACCTATCGTGGCGAATACAGCGCGAATAACAGCAATAACAATGAAATACTATACAAAAAAAACACACCAATTAATTCATTTGATTTATTTTTCTTTCGTTTCTTCGGTGCTGTCTCTGTCTGTCCGCCTCTCTTTCTCTCGCACGCGCCGCACTCGCCATTCTCGGCCAGTACAATGCCCAATTATAAAACAAACCACACACTCAACAGCAACAACAACAAAAATAAATAAACCGATCGCCTTGTTACTTGAATATTTTTGTGCGTTTTACAGCGAGAGGGAAGGAGAGAGAGAGATACCATCGCATTGAATATCTCAATCGATAGGTGTTTTCTTTTTGTCTGTCTGTCTATTTGTCAGCGTTTCCGTAACATACAAATTTGCAGGCACCGGTTCAACCCGTGAATAGTTGCTTTATTTTATCGATTTGTGGCTGTTATTGTTGTTGGTTGTTTCGTTGTTCAGGTTCAACCTCATTATAATGAGTTTCCCTTATTCGCAATTGTTTCGATTCGGTTCCTGCGATAGGTTTCTCTCTGTATCTCTCTATTGCTTTCTCACTTGCTCTCTGTCTCCCGCTCCCTCGCTCACTCACTCTCTCTCTCTCAAACGAATGTGAACAAGAAACGTGAATGACACTGAAATTGAAATCACCAATCATACACTTGTTTTTGGACACGCATTTAATGTTTTTTTTTGGTCACATCTAATTATCAACACCGTCCTTCGTCAGCAGCAGCAGAACAATGCCAATAACGCATCGATATCGAAAATTAAGACGAAATTTGTACACACAAGAAATGAGAGACAGATTTTAAAAGAAAAAGAAGGAAAAACAAAACAAATAATATAAAAAAAAACAATAGTACGAATGGTATCGACAACACAGAACAACGAACTAGGAACAGCAACAGTGGAAATGAGATCAATATTGATAAATTGCGTGCTGTATACTTTGTCGCTTGTCATCCGAAAATAACAAAAGAAGAAAAAAAAATTTTCGCTTGATTTTGTTTTGTCTTTCGTTCGTACAGGTTCACTCTATTTTGACGAAAACACTTCCAATTAATCATACGAAAATATTATTTCGCAAAACGACAACACTTTGAATTCGCGAAAGCACACAATGAAATCGCACACCAAAGGAAACGACATGAAAATAATGAAATAAAACAACAACAACACAACAAAAACAACAATTTTCAATGGATACAAAAACACGGATTATTTCATCACTTACGTTGCATCGAAATGAGTATTGTCTATAAAATACTTGTGCTGTGTTATAAACACAAATGTCGTCGAAATGAAAATGAAAATTTTGTTTTATTTTTCCGTTGCAAATTCTCTGCCGTATCAAAATTGATACATCGCCTTTCCGTCTAAGAATGGACGAAAACAACAGAACAGTTGGGCCACACACAAAAATCTACGTATATTTGATTTGAAACAGTGTATCCGATGTGTAGTATGAAAAGACGACGAAGGAAAAAAAAAACAACAATGGCACAAACATTTCACCATGCTCTACGAATCATATAAACACACAAATACCCACATACAGACACCTCACGCAGACATACGAGCGCGCTCTCACACGCGCCCAACACGACGATGTCGACCTGAGAAAGACATTCACTCAGTTTATTTCATACATGCACATGGGCACATCGTGCCGTGGTCCCTTTTAATGTCGACATTTTGAAGCACACACAATTCCCTATCGTCTGTATTTATGTATCGATTTGGCGAGACAGATGCAGAGCACCAAACCCCCCAAAAAAAAACACGAACGACGAAAGAGAGCCACGAAATGAAATGAAATTAAACGGAATATATACGGACAGACCCGAAAGAGATACATATGCGGCACAATTCACACACAGAGAAAAACCGTCCAGCGCAATAAATACACGCATCAGAATTTTAAAGCTCAAACACACAAACAATGGGAACAATGAAATACCTGCAATATTCACAACACGTTCATCAAAATAGTGAATCGCACACGATTTATGTACGGGCAGAATGATGGACGAATGAATCGATGGACACACATATATTCGCGCGCGATCTCAATCTCGATATATCGCCCATTTCTGTCACACTCCCTACGAACTATTTCTTTCACATTGGCAGCGCTGACGTTTTTTTTTCTTCTTCTTCTCCTTTATTCGATTCAGTTCGATGTGTTTGAGCGTAAATCAAATTGATTCGCCACAACAGAAAACTAACAACTCATGCATATATGCATCATCGGTTTGTTTGACGACAATGAAAGAGACGAGAATAAGGTTTTTTTTTTAGATTTATTGGTCTCTTTCTTTTTTATTTGCTTTTGCGAGCACAAAGCATTTTGATATGTCAATTTTGGGCTGGTTGCTTGCTCGTGAAATGGTGACAACGTGAGTTTTGACAGCGTATCAGTCACGCCAATGCTACTGGATTTTGAACGGAGATTTGGCGCGGAAATAGAATGAATATCTATTAATTTTGAGTCCATATATGCTGGACGCACTCTTCCACTTTTGGAAGAAGGATTTACACATTTTGTAACAGCGACACCTGAGAACCGTACTCAACTTCAATTTTCTTCGGGAATCGTACTAAACCCATTCTTTCTATTTCTTCTCCTGTTCCATTCAACACGGATGAATATCGACAGTTTAGGTGTATAAAAGAACAATAGCTTATTTTTTTTCTTCTTTCAGCGTCCCTTGATCTTCTTGTGATTTCTCAATTTATATTTCACTTCGGTTGATTTTATAGGATAATCGTGCTATTAGTAAGGAAGTCATTTGGAAAGAAATACCCTGAGTTTCGAGCGAATTGAATAGTGCAGCGCCATCTATTGTATTTACAAGGCACTTCCTCTCAGAGCAACTATATTGGTTGTATATTTTTATTTAAAAAAAATCCTGAAAAACTTGAACGAAACGAAAAGAATATGAAAATTAGTTTTTTCCCAAATTTTTGTTATTCATTGAATTCAAATTATTTTGCTTATAAATTGAACATTTTAAATGCCATTGGTGCCAAACACCTACCTTAAACACATTTAAAAAAAAAGGTGTATTGTTCAAATAGAGAGCTGAGACAGGCAAAACAATAACCAAATACTATCTCCGGATTTTTGAGTGGAAAAATTCGTACAAAAGGCAAAGATGTCAAGAAGTTCAACCTTTGGATGCCGAAAAATTCAATGACTTTTGTCACGAATGGCAAACAATCGTTGGAAGTACGCAATTATGTAAAAATCGAAAAATATAAATAAAAATTGATTTTTTTTCTATTATATAAAAATTGAAAGAAAAAATTTATTCCGAAAAAAAAGAACAAAAATGCAATCGGTTTAGTTTTTTTTCAGAGAATTTGTTTGTTTTTTTTTTATTTGGATGAGAAAAAAAAGAATAAATGAAAAATGGCGAATCACATAGATCATCGATAGCATGAAAACTCTCTAAAGTCTATAGTGTTTAGTAAATAACATTTAAATTGATATTCGCATTCTCACTTCGGATTTACTAAATCATTGCCCTGGCATTGGAGTGCAGTTGGCAATCCAAATTGATATAAATCTACACAAAAACATGAATGTTTGGTGATATTTGTTGTAGCTGCTCACAATCTTTTACTTCGAGCTGAACATAATCAAAAATGGTGTTATTTTCGTTGGTTAGTTGTTAATTTTTTTGATTATTGACATCGAATCTGTTTCTTTTTATCCAAGTAAAATACAAGAAAAAAAATTAACAAGAAATATTTGCACACTTGAATGCAATACAATTTGCAGCGAAGTGAATTCTTATGATTCGTTTATAATTTCATTTTTTTTTTCAAACTTTTAATTATTAATGTAAATATGTTTAAATACGAATGAATCCAGACAAGGAAGAATTTCTCATTATTTCTAAATTAGAATGCAATTGAAATTAAACACTTTGTTTGATTTGTTTTTTTTTTGTTTGATTAGAGACTGCTTAAGTTTTGTGGTTTAGATAATAATTGATTTTTTATTTGAATTTGTGTACATACAATTGCCTGTTGAATCATTCAAATGTCTGCTTAACATCTAAACGTTTTTTGAAAGTTCATTTTTTTTAGCTAAGAAACAAAAAATGGTAAATTTGCTGAATCTTGGAGCATTGTTTTTTCGGATGTGCAAGACTGAGGAACCATATATAAAAAACAGAGAGACAAAAAAATAATGTAACACTTAAATCCATACACATAAATCTGGGACTAAAATTATACACAATCAAGGATGGAAAACTCTGTGGAAATTCTTCATTTTTTTTTCATCGTCATTCTTTCGAGCAACAGCGGTCGCATACGCACGAACACGAAACGGCAAACCATAATAAACGAGACTCTAAATTGACAGGGTAAAATCAAAATATTTTGGTTTCTTTTTTTCACTTTATCATCCTCGACTCACTTTGAATGCTACGCTAAATTTTTTTGTTTTTTTTTCTCATTAAATTATTGGTTATTCAGTGTTTTTAATAGGTGGTAAATATGACTTTTTTTAAATATAATAAGCTACAACAATGACGTATATCAGTAAGTTATTAGGTTTTTTTTGATGTTGTTGTTGTTGTTTTGTTTAGCTTCTTTAAATTGTGTACACACGAAGAAAATTCAATTCAATTATTATGAATATAATAATGGCAAAAAAAAAATAATTCTGTGTCCTCTATGCTGGGTTTATCAACGCCGTGGAGAAGATGATGTTAAACCTGTTGAAAACGATACAAAAACAATTCCGATCATATGTTGGATTGTGATTATGAGAAGAAAAATACGAGACAGAGAGATAGCCTAATATTTTCATATCAAGCAATTGAATGGAAAATCAACAGAATTTACAACAAAAAAATTGAATATGCATGCATTATCAATATGAATTGAAATCAACATCATGAAAAATGTGAATAAAAACGAAACTCGCATTTACATGGACAAATCTGACATAGGTCATGTCCGTGTAAATACACGTGGAAATATCGGCTTTGATCAAATGAAACCATCAAATGAAGTATCCATTTGTATAAACACATGAAAAAGCAAACTTAAACAAATCTAGTCAATCATCAAGGATACACAATAATATTTCTATATATCGAACGAGAGAGAAAAGAAGAGGAAATTCGATTATCAATGAAGATGATTTCTAAATTAGAATTCATCTAATTCTTCGAAATAAATGTCAGAAGCTATTTGAGACAAATTCATCTGAAATAATTTTAAAAACTTACGTTGAAAAAAAAATATCAGCTACAAAAACTAGACAAATGGAGTTGAAATTGAATTGTAAATGAATTTGAAGAAAAAAATAAAGAAAAAAAAACAAAAATTTGAATAAAATTAGAAGAAAAATCAAATATAAATGTATCTCAAAACTGAGACTAACCAAAAAAACGCAATAATTTACATGAAATAAGCCTCTAATCTCATTTAAAAAAAATTGTTCAAAAAAGTGATGATGTAAAGAATACTAACTAAAAACAACGAAAGTTTGTTGAACAAAAGAAAACGAAGGGAATGTGTGTTTTAGCTGGATATCATTCTTGATCAAATGTACCCACCTGGTCATAAAATTCCAATCCTATAAACATACCACATGGAAATCAATTCACTTTGGTCGATTGTTACATCGGCAAAGGAATATGATGGATGAGCAATGGCAATGTTGGTATGGTGCTCATAAGTATGTGTTTGTATGTATATGTGTCAATTCTTGCTTGGCTTAATAGGCTATTGTTATTGTGTTTATTGAAGAAACACACAAACATGCACAGTGAATAAAGAGAGATGTACCGAGAGAGAAAAATGAATGAGAAAATGGAATAAATAGAAAAACAAATTTAAAATATTTCGGCATTTTTGGTTGATTGATCGCGTCCAAAATTCACTGTGGAAAACTCGGATGGTTGGAATGAAATACCGCACCCCACCGATACCGGCGACCTTAGTTCAGTTGAGTGCAAAAACCACCGATCCAATAGAAATATGAAAATGTCAATGGAAATGAGTGATGCCGATTAATTACCTGGTGTGTATGTGTTCTGTTCGGATGTATTGAGCGATGTTTGCTCTGTGGCAATGTTAGCAAATGGATTGGTTGGATTTGGATTTGGAGCTGGCATTGCGATTGGCATGTTGAAATTGCTGGTTCCTTGGCCAGGTGCCGGTTGTGAGGTTACCGGACCGCCATCCATATCATTGAAGTCCTCCTGTAAAAATTGCAACAAATTGATACATTTAACACAATTTCCACCTGTGTTTTGAAAATTTCAATTCTTAAATCTTGCATTGCTAAATCGGTGTATTTACATCGGATATAATTTGTATTTTTTGCTCTAAATTCCAATTGAACATCTAAAATAAATATGTTTTGCTCTAAATTTCGAAGTTACATCTAAATGTGTTGCTGTAGCAACATGTCTACATTTGTTTTTTTTTTTTTTTTTTTGCTTTTACTCGTCTGTGAAATGAATGTTCGAATTTTTTTTGAACGTATGATGATCGATTAATACAAAATAATTGTCCATACAAAAATGAATCTTATTACATAAAACGCACGTTACATTTTGGGGTTGGTGCATGCACATGCGGAATGAATATAAATCAAAATGAAAAGCATTTCTTGTTTGGTTTAATTTTTTATAATTTGTTTCCCCCTTTTCGGAAAAGTAAATCAATAAACAAATTCATTTATGGAAAAGAGTTATGAGAGTGTGTATGTGAAACTTACTCGTCCTGATGTTCCATCTGGATGATTTCCATCACGCTGGGTAAATAAACAAATAAATTAAAAGGAACCAAATAAAAAAACAACAAAACCAATAACAAACAGAAAAGAAAAGAAAAAGAATTTCAAATGCAGATTATATTTCGATTATTATTGTTTTTTTTTTGGAAAATTCAAACAAATTCAAAATAAAAAAAGTTAATATCACAAATAAGTTTATAGAAAAGAAAAATTGGTGGAATCAAGAGAAAAAAGAAGGAACGAAAAACGTTTTTGTGAGAAAAGAATAAGATTTATTAATAAAAGTGGTTCATCAGACACTGAATGATTGTGAAGGAAAAAAAGTAGTTTTGTGTTGTTGTCGATTAAAGCCAGAAAACGGAAACGGTTGCGATTGAGCGACAATTGTCTATAAATGCTCACATATGGATCTCTAATTGGCACATTCGAAAGAATAAAGTAACAATAGCTCGCCTACATTTCATGTGTAGTGCTTTTGCAAATGGGGTTAATAGCACCAAGTATGTTGCACGGCATGCAATCAGCATATACACACACATGAAAGCCCTTGTCATGGCTATTTGAAAGTGTTACTTTTGTTCTAAAACCTTGACAAACTCGCGGATACGGCAGGCTAATACTTGATCAGGCTCTCGACCCAAAGCCGAGTGAGCGTGTGCGCCCATGACGCTCAAGTGCCAAATGAAATGCAAAATGCCCAACTTTCAGTATGTATTTTTTATACGTCTTAAAAGTCTAATTAATTTGAATACAAGATTTTTTTTTTGTTCTGTTTTATTCGTGCTTACGTATCACAAATGAAAGTTATATGAATAGATGAAGTGTGTTTTTGTGTGGTATGAGACTTGGCAATAAAAATGAAATGTGTTAAAAAGAAACGAAAGAACAAAAAAAAAATCAATACAACGATGACATGGAGCCAGTGAACGCATACACATACGGTGCGTGTCCAAAAAAAAAACGGTGAAATTTCGTGCAATTTTCGATCGATCATATTCATTATTGACTGTGTGACACATGTATGCGATTAGCTCGAATCAAAAAATAACAACAATAAACACAGTCGCAAGCGATATGGGTTTGTGATTGAGTCGGGTGAAATTGTTCATGTTTTTTTTTTGCTGCTCTTCAAATAACAAGTGCATTTGTCCATCTAATCGCTATGTTAAGCACAAGTTTAAGTTTCGAAATTGGAATTTGTAAGTAAGAATGTTAAGAAAAAACAAAATTAAGGAATGAAATAAAGGAAAAAATTGTGTCTTTCTTGACTTTGTGTGTCTTTGTTTGAGTCATTGGTTCAAAACTACTTACGTGTAAATGTTGGTAATCCTTGGAATCATGATCATGTGGTGCCGGTTTGTATTTGCCGAAGCAGAAATTACAACAACAGCAGCAGCAACAACAACAGTAACAGCCTGTTATGATACCGCAAATGATGAAGCATGCCTGCAATCGAAATGAAAAAAATAAAATAAAATTAATTGGAACGATTAAGACCGCAAAGTGTCATATTTGATTAGCATTTGGGCGACGACGACAACGACAGCGCCAGTGGTGATGTCGCGCGCGCAAAGTGAAAACAATTCTCGCAAAAAGAAAACAAATCACGATTGAATTTTTGGCGCAACAAACCTTGCAGGCTGGTGAAGTAACCACAAAGTATGCGTTTACATTCTCTTCGCCGAATTGCTCCGCAATGTAGAGTCCAAGCGATCCATAGTTATCGTAAATATTTCGTTTCGTTAAATCGCTTAATATTGAATTTGCCCGATTCACTTCCTTGAACTGGAAAACGAAAAATGGATTTGATTTAAATATGTTTACGATTCATTTCGAAGCAAATGATCAACTCCAAATTGAATTGACCAAAAATGCATTTCAATCAATGGTTGACGCATAGTGATGTTCACTCACCTTGTCTGCAGCATCTGGATTGTCTGGGTTCTTATCTGGATGGTATTTAAGTGCTAGTTTTCGGTACGTTTTCTTAATTTCATCGGGTGTGGCTGTTTTAGAAAGACCTAATATTTCGTACAATGTATCTCCAGATGTTCTAAATGCATGCAGAATGAAAGTAAAACAAATGCAACGTTTGGAATTGAAAATATTTTGCAAATAAACAAATGGTAGAAGAAAAAAAAAATGTGTGGTGATTAAAACGAATCTGTGAAATGGCACAAATGCAATTGAAAATGGAATATCATTGTTTTGTATCTTAAGAAATCAAGGCTTTGAAGATTTATCAGCCCAGAACATCATCGGATTGTAACAACAAAAAGAAACAGATATGCATGTGAACGCACGCGACACATTTATCTTCTAAGATTTCAAAGATCTTGTTTGCTGCTGAATATCACGCGATACTATGTGTTCGGCGTTTGTGGTTTGATGTTCGCATGTCGCGCAGAACATGTGTAATTGTGTATCTCTCTTGATTGCGAAACGAACAAGTCGAAATCAACATTCAAATATTCCGCACACACACACACACAATCTCTCTCTCTCGCACACTCACTCTTCACAAAGTGGTGAATTTCAGCGTATCAAGTTAAACCGGCGATACATGAGATAGATTGTATTGCGTGAGATTGTTTTTTTTTTGGTGTGTGCTCAAAATCACCCATCTGAAAAGTAAAAATGCTGTTTTCTCATAAGGTATCAATTGTGCTGGTCAAATAAATCCAAGAGTCGAATGCAGCAGTCGATTTAAACGCAATATGAAGAAACGAAAAAAGATTCCAAAAAATTACATCCAAACGCTGCTCCATCGAAATTCGATCGCATTTGGTGTGTGCGGGCCTGTTTTGATTTTGTTCATTCGTTTTCAGAAACATTTTTCAGCATAATAAACGCGTATGTTTTGTGCATTTATGCAGAAACCACAATATTCGCTTCATCTGCAGCTAGCGGCTCTCTATGAATTCTCAATGCCCAAAATAAAATACACAACAACAGCATCGATTAGCCATCTTATAGCGCAGTAAACGATGCATCATTGATACAGTTTTTAACTGACTGATGCTGCTGCTGCTGCTGCTGTTTTCGTTAGTTTTTCAATGCTATTTGCGCTCCAGCCAAAATCGCATTGAAAATAACCCAATTTCGGTGGTGATGCGCTACGAGAACTTGGCGTTTTCTCTTGAATTTTTCGATTCACTTTGGAATATTGACGAATATTCTACAGCTGAACAGATGAAATACGAAGCAAACTGAAATGTTGTCACATTTGCAGCAATTGCTTAGAAGCTATCTATGGTTTGAATTACCACGTGTTAACGCCTTTGAGCGTCAAATTCAAAATGAATGTTTGCAAAACATTTGTCACACCTTCGCCCATTACTGAGAAACCTATTCGTTTTAGTTTTGCATTTTGAGTCACATATCAGGAAACTTGATATCTCAAACAGATTTTGTTATGAACCATAAAAAACCGTCTCTTATCAAAGTGAATCATGTGTTATCGAAGAAGAAAGATTCTTCTACCGACTGTCAACACAACGCCATACTGTTTTAAAAGTTATCACTTTTTTAAAAGTTTTTTTTTTTCGCTTTCGGTACGAGGGGATTCACCTCAATAAAAGGCTGTTCATATCATCTCAAACGGAATCCAATGAACGCATTGATACAATTTGTATGATCAACAAAATTGTAATTAGCCTTGAATCATGTTTTAAAATGTGAGCCCATCAAAAATGCCAGATACTGAAACGAGATTGGTCGATGCGGCGCCTTGTCGAAGGTTAAAACATTTGCTATAGTGGTGTCAATAAAAAAAATATCTAGAATAAGGAGCAATGGAAAACATCTGCTCAAGAGCTGTCGTCGTCTTGTACACACACACACACACACGAATGGAGAAAATGCTGTAGCGTTAGCGTGTATTCTTGTGTATGTGGCTCAACACATACGGCTTGGAATTAAAGAAAATTCATTTGCATTCAACTAATGAAGGTTTTTTTTTTCTTCCATTTTTTTGCTGCATTTTTATTTTTGTTTTCTAGCGAACGAGAAGAAAAAGCTGCTTGAACAAAATCAATAAAAGAAGAAGAAAAAAATGCAAAAGTTTTGACGTGGAATCACAGATTACGCCGATAATGGTAGCACAAAACAATAACGAGCAAGTTCGGAAAGTGGCTGTAAAAATCGATTTTTCCTGCATTTATTACAGTACACCAAACTATTTTTATACACACACCAGTCATATAATCAAATGGAGGTGTCATATTCAAAATATGAACGAAAAAAAAAATTCCGGCGGAATTTCGATGTTTCCATGTTATTTCGTTGGTTTGTTTCTTCTTTTTGAAAAATTCCTACTTACGACAATTTTCTCTTTTCCATTGTGGATTTTTCTTCGTTTTCTTGCCTCGATTCACTGGTTGTCTTTGGAATTTAGTTTCCCTTAAATGTACTTAAATCACTAATTGACTATGTCACTGTGTGTACAGCGTTCAGTATTTTCTCTGTCTCTGCCTCTGTCTCTGTCTCTCTTCCTCCGTTTCTCGGTCTCCGTCTCTTGGTATATGCTTCTGCCTCGGATGGAACGATTCACTTTTCTATCGGGTTAAAAGACACAACAAATTGGAAATATAATACGTATAAATATGTTTATATAGAAAAAGAAACCCCAAAAAATAAACACACACAGAGAGACACAACAATTGTCAAACACTAGCGGAATTTCGTTGAGTTCAAAAATTCAATCGATCCACAGGTATCTTGGTGTGTCTCTTGGAGAAAAATAAATTATTGTTTTTCAGTTGTGTTGTTTTTTTTTCGATTCGGTTTTGGTTTCGATTTCTGGAACATACACACACACACACACACACACACATTTATACACACTGCTTGTGTCATATAAATAATCAAAGCAATCGAACGGCAATAACAATAAATGTTCATGTAGAACATAAAAAAATAAAACTGTTCACTTTTTTTTATTTTGAACACGTCCGAAGAATATTAAAAGAAATCATACTGAGTGAGTGTGAAATTAAAACGATAGAAGAAAAGAAAAAAAAATCGGTTATACACATATGCACATTCGTACACCCGTGTCAGAATTACACTAACTACTTTTGATGATATAAAAGCCACTCCAGAATATTGTGAACTGATTCCGACCGACCGACTGAAACCAAAGAAAACGGTTTGTTATTTGACAAAAAAAAACACACACAACTTCTGAATCTCGAACCAAAATCGTGCAATCGTTGACAATTGTGTGTGCATCAAAATTGTGTGTATTTCCGCAATACCACCAAAATCATTGCAGTTTATACGTTTATTTCTTTCTTTTTCGTTTTCTTGTGCTCTTCTTCTTCTTCTTCTTCTTCTTCTTCTTCTTCTTCTTCTTCTTCTTCTTCTTCTTCTTCTTCTATTGCGTGTATATTGTTCTCGTTCGTTTTTTTTCTCTTCTCTCGATTTGACTCACCAAATAAAAATGTTTCAACGATGTAATTTTTCCACCAGCAAAACACTCGATTAAATCACTCTGTTTCTGCCTGCGATTTGTATTAAAATCGACAGCACAGTGAATTTTCAGTGAGAAAACGCCGTTTTTCCCGACGATGAAACTGAAAAACTAAACCACAAATTCTTTCGAATCAAAACCGAAAAGAAAAAATGTGTACAATTCACGTTATTTGATATATCCTTATGGGTGCTGTTCGCTTTCGTTTGTGCTTGCAATGGTATTTCGGTGCGATTTGAGCGCAAAAATTTACTCTACATCGAGAGAGACAGATGAATACAAGCGAGAGAACAGCCAAACGTATGGGAAGGAATGAAAGAAAAAGAGAGAGAAAAAAAAACGTCGTACAAGTACACGAATGCGTACGCGCGCGTATGTGTTTGTGTATGAGAGAGAGAGAGAGAGAGAGAGAGAGAGAGTGTGTGAGTGTGTGTGTGTGTTTGCCAAACTCATTCAATCGATAAAGGAATAGTTTTGCCGTGCACGTCCCGTTCTGCATTTTGGTTACACACAGCCACATTGAAAGAACACGCTGCACGTGAAAAGTCATACGAAAACTTGTGCACACATCAAAATCCGAGCAAAGCACATTTATGGCCGTGGAATATTCATCATGACATACAACACTATATACACTTTGTGATTGTATATTTGACGTATGCGATCACAGCATTTGTATTGAAAATGATTTCAATTCATTTACATATCGAATTACATATTGCATTTTAAGTCATCTCGTAGAAGAGAATTTGCATTATACATAAAAGGGAGATTGCACTGTTACCTCCACAGCAGTTGAATTGTTGCCCCAACAGCAACAGCCACTGTTTATGTCCATCAATTGCATCGTATTGGTAAAATGCGTACGCTAAAGATTTTTTTCGGTTTTATCAGTTCGTTCTTCTGTCACAACGTTGGCTGAGTGTGTGAGTGCTGTTTTGATTGGCTTCACAGCCGAGCTGAACACGAAAGCCACTGTAATACAGAGAGAGAAAATTATTTTTTGAAGAGCGAGAGAACGAAAAGAAAAAAAAAATGATGGCTGACATTGAGCCAACTGTCAAAGCGTGAATCCGTTGCATTTACATTGATCGTGTAAATGAAACGCAACCCCTTTCATCATGTACCAAACTTCGTGCAAATGTTTGGAATAAAAATTTTATCAATTATTTTTTTTTTTTGGGTGAATGAAGAGAAAAAATTGAATATCACCCATAGCAACAAAATGAATGATTGATTGATTTCGGAAATGAGCCGTAGTAGAGCTCAAAATGAATGACAATCATGGACACAGTCATCGGTGTGTCGTATTGGTTGTGTAGACGGTCCGTCATCAAGATGCCTTAATGTATGTAGCAAGTGCGTTTATGCGCCGCCATTATGCTTTTACCTTTTTTTTCAACTTCTCTCTACTTTGCATTGCTTTGCAAATCACGATCGCTATTCGAATCGTCTAGCATTTTTCTCAACCATTCAACGTACGGTGATACAATTATACAGACAAATCCGTGTTCGTCATTAGTTTCTTTTTTTCTCTTTCTCTCTCGACTTTTATTTGGAGACGGCATTTTACACGGAAGAAGAGTTATGTGAAAAAATAAAAATAAAAATAAAATAAATAAATAGATCGATGGTTGTTGTTTTTAAACGTAGACGTTGGATAAATCTCATTTTAATTTGTTGGTGATTTAAGTTGTTGTTTTTTTTTCTCTGTTCCTCGAATCAAGTGTGTCAAATATTTCACTAGTTTTTATCATTTTTTTTGAGTGAAAAATTGTCAAACAAAGCAAGAGCAACCATTTTTTTCTTACTTCGGTTGTATAGCAAAAAACGCAACACAGTGAGAAAGCTATGAACAACATTTGAAGTATCCAAAATCGCAGCGAGAACAATTTTTTTTTCGAATCAACCACCAAATTTACCTGAAGAGAGATAGAGTTAATTTTGAAATAAAAGACTGTGATACAATTGAACTGGCGAAAGAATAAGATTCTCATGATCCTGAATTCCTATGTTAAAAACCAATTGAAAGCAACACCATTCATTTAAGACGAAGACTTAAACCATTTTTGTGCAGTTGCAAGTGCTTGCCAAGACAAACTGAATCCAAATCGGTTGTTTTTTTTTGTCCATTTTTTTTTTAAATTTACACTTTAACACAAATTCTACACCTGATCCAGCAGCAGTAGCATCCAGCGCAAGAAGAAAAATACGGTTCTGATATAAACGTGTGCATAGAACGTATAGATAGAACCATAGAGAAATAGATAAAAGAGCGAAGAAACAACGAAACGGACAATGAGTTCACAAGTGGTTTTGTTCGCCTGCTCCAAATGCTTTTCGAGGCATCCATTCGAAGAGTTGTCGACTGGTCAGCAATTATGCAAGGTAAATAGACCAAGTAATCGATCAAATTAATACCCTGTAGTTACCATGCATTTTCATACGGATTATTTAATTTTTTTCGTTTCATTTAGCTCACATTTCGCATTTCAGCATTTGCATCGTTAGTTTTTTTTTTGTTCACATTTTTTTCTTATTTTTTATTTGGTCGAGATTTCATGCATCAAAAAAATGAAAGTTGATTGAATTTCATCGTACTCTATCTGACAAAATCGTATTTAACCCTGTTGGTCGTCATAGCCGAGTGTTGTCGGTGTGTGTGCGATTCGTTGTTTGTTCGTATTGTAGGCCATTTCAGCAAGGTCTAATTGTTTTTGTGAATTAAACTTTTGAGGCGTGCATATTCCATGGAACGATGTCACTTGATGAATTTGTATAAATTCCGCTATTCAAAAGCGCACACCGTTGCTCGCACGGCACGGCAGACGGAGATAGAAGAGGAAATGGGATAGAGAGCTCACTGTTTCCTTTTTTATTCTTCTCTTGCGATAATTTGTAATGACGTCAAAATTATTGGGACGCTCACCATATTGATTGTGGTTATGACCGTCGCTTTGTGTCTCACTTTTCTTTGTTTCATTTTCTAGTGATTCTTCCGAACAAAATAAAAACGTCTTTAGTTGTCCTGACCTTGGCTGTTATATTCATAATTCGTTGACTACCATTTTGACTGAATTTTCCCACAGCTAGCGGGGGTTGTGTGTTTGAGCATTCAAAATTTGTTTTGAAATTATATAAAAATGTCCCATTTTCCCTATATCCGCATACATATATAATATGCATTCAACTGAGTCAGCGGTAGAAATGAATGATGTTTGGGCAACGTACGTCACAATTACACAGAGACAGTGCGAGAGAGAGAGCGCGCGCGCGTTCATACAATTTCAGGAAGTTTTTCAATGTTTTTCTTGTTTTATTTCCCTCTGTGAGCGCCATGCCGTGCTGTCAATTTGTTTATCATATAAATGATCTCTATTCTATCTCTCGAACTATTCTGTTGGCTATGTCTCTCTTTCTCCCCCCCCCCCCTCCTCTCTCTCTCTCTCTCTGTCGTGATGTGTGCCAATGAATTTTCTCGGTTATCGGTTTCAGTTCGACCAAAGCGGAACATTAGCTACAGCCGTTTTATCCATTGTCACCGGTGGTACACGTCGTTGTATTTTTAGCACTTTATGGCGGTCACATTGAAATCGCTTCATAACATTGACTCAGTTTCGGTTGTTGTTGTTCGAAAGCGCATTCCGAATCGCAGTCAATCGCACTAATGCAACGTTGCAATACTATATTTACGATGTTTCATTTGAACTTCGTTTTGTTTTGAACTAGATTCTTAGCACAGTACTGTTTACACTGGTGCGATTACGTGACATACATGGCGTAGCGATACACATTACGCGCTCTGTGTGTCTGCATTCATTTCGACCTGTCGATTTCGGTTTGCTTGCCGCGCAATTTGATTATTCGACTCAAAATATTGCTGTGATATGATAGCAGCGGTAAAAAGCGAACCAAATGATCGGATTTTTTTGGGGTGTATGACTCACTTTTCACTATAGCATATCAATTAATAAATTTGCGGAAGAAATTGTTGCTTCTCCAAAGCATCTGTAGACATGGTTGAAATCAAACAATTTTTCCTCTTCATTTCAGGATTGCCGAGGTTCTTTTCCCACACTTAAATGTACATATTGCCGATCGGAATTCCAACAGAGCAAGTAAGTTAAGCGATTCCACCCCGAATCGTGTCGAATAAAAATCGACTCAAGGCGAGCCAATTTATTTTAATTCAATTCAATTAAAGCAAATCAACAAAACAAAAAAAATGAGTAGAAAAACCAAAATCGCCAAAATGTTCCAACCAAACTCACACACACACACATTTATATAACCGAAATATTTATAGCAAAAGCAGCACGTCCACCATTTGCAAGAAGTGTGAATATAATGTGAAACAGTATGGAAAACCGTCAGCATGCGAATATTGCAACATAATAGCGGCTTTCATTGGAACCAAGTGCCAAAGGTTCGTTAAGTACCAATTCTTCATTTTCATTGTCGATTATTCTTTCTTTTTCTTTTTTTTTTTTTGTTAATTTTTCTGTTTCGTTGTTAACACACGTGTGCAATGATACAATTAACGAATTTTTTGTTGTTTTTGTTGTTGCTTTTTTTCAATTTTGAGAGAAAAAATGATTTGTTGCGTTTTGTTTGTGAGATTTTGGCGGGATGAAATAAGCGATGGAAAAAAGAAATCGAAATATTATAGAAAAAAAATTTGCCTCTCACACAACGAATGTGAATTGGAATAAAAGCATAGAGAACGCCATTATTTTTCCGTGTATTAGTGAGTCAGAGATGAATGCTTTGAACAATGGAATGAGGTTGTTTTTGGAACATTGTGTTAGGCAGGTATAGAGGGAGAGAGAGAGATCAATGTATATCACGGAAATGACCAAATAATTTGAAGAAATGAGGACTTGTCTGTCATACACAATGAATGTGTTACGTTTTGAACTCAATGGTCGTGAATAATGTTGTCAACACACAGGACACACAGCATTCCCGTCTAACACAAAATTGTTTCGATAGTAGTGCTCCGCATGTCTGACCTAAGCGGTGCTCTCTTAATTCACTGTTGTTCAATTTATCCACCTGACGAGAAAAGTAGAATTATGGTGGCCAATCTAGTTTTTGTTCCAATTGCTTGAATCGATCACTAGTCCTTATTGTTCAACGTCTTATTTCGTTCAACCATTAACCCAACAACAAATTTGCTTTTCCATATCGATTTTTTTTTTCTGTAAAAAATTAGTAGACAATTTTTCCTTTCCTTTTTTAAAACAAATCGAAAGAAAAAAAAAGAGAAAAGTGTTTGTTATTTTTTTTTTTGAACTCGTCCGTTTCTTATGACGCAAACCATTATTATACCGTTATCAATTAGGTGTACAAACTCAGAGTTAAAATATGGCCCAGCTGTAACGTGTGACCAATGTAAACAACGGTGTGCATTTGATAGACATGATGAAAATAAAAAGGTTCGTTTCCAACTCACACGCACACACACACACATACACACGCTATTTGAACCGTATGAAAATGGATAGAAAATGTTTGATGAGTCGCACTTGACACACACAGACGTACGGAAGAACGCACGCAAAAACATTCAGAGATTCACCATTGCGAGACCCATTGAATGCAATTCAATGGAACAAGATACTGTGAAAATGAATGCATTTGCGGAGGTTTTTTCGTCACAAAGTGCGAAAGCACATTGTGTGTCATCGTGCATTGGACTCGATAAAACATTTTTACCCCTCCCCCCCTCCCGACGAGATGGTGCATCATGAATGATTACTCTACAACGTCAACGCTCTGCAACTGCTCCAGAGATAAATTTTTGTTTATCAACGACACACACACACATACAATAGATTCAATTGCTACTTCAGAATCAATACCCGCTGACACAAATTGTCAATGATCGCGCGATATATGAAAAAAAAAATGTAAACATATCCATAATAGAAATACTACGTACAAAAATCCTAACTGAGAATTAGATAAGACCGATACAAATGAATATCTTTTATTGTTTAGAAAAAAAAAACAAGAAAAAAATCGCTCATAAGTTTTGTCCATGTTGTGTAACATCAATTTGAGAATCGATTGTTAAAACTAAGTATATTTCGCTTCCTAAGGATACACTGTTCCAACTATGTATTTATATATGTCATGTTATTGTTATTTACCCAAATGAAAAAAAAGAAGAAGAAGAACAAACTCTGTATTATTGCGACTGTGTGCATGAATGAAGTGCAAACTTGATACGCAAATTAATTGTAATTTATCTCTGTTAATATTATCTAATTGAATTTCGATGTACTTGCTTTCAAATTGCGTGTGCTCTCACATGTCGAAAACGGCACGAAAAAAAAAATGATAAAACCGAAAAATGTATCCAATGTGTTGCGAGAGACGCAATCTAGCAAAGCAATTTATGGGTTAAGTGCCGTGACAAGCCGTCATTTGCATATATATATATAGCGTCAGCAAAATGCATATTTCATTCGCAATCTTTAATACGTATTTAGTGGCTAGGTCGGGAATATTTTGTAGAGAAAAAAAAAACCAATTGTTGTTATTATTATCACACGCATTATTTTATTTTGGCATATACGATTGTGATTCGAGATGAATCATACGTTCGTCGTTGTAAATAAAACAACAACAGCCACTAGAATCTAACTATATTTTGTGTAGTGGTGAATCCACGGTTTTTGATGACGTCAGTTAAGGCTTTAAAGCTAAATTTCAAATGATGACGAAGTCGAAGCTAAACAGAAACAGCCGAAGCTGAAAAACAAATTTTATTTTGATCCTGAAACAATTTTTTTTTGTTCATTCGGTTTATTCTTTACACGAATATTCGAGATTCAACAAGTTGCAATTGTTTTGTATTTAAAAAAAAAAGAAGAGAAACTTGTTATTACGATGGAAATGCAGGCAATCAAAATGAACGTATGGTTCATACCGGAGAGTGATATCAGAAACACAAGCGAAGTGCACGTAGACATATGCCATATTTATGTGGCCAATTTATCGGATATTATAAACATGGCACAAATCGAATGCCAAACAGACATCTGATATTTAATTGGATCATAAACAGTGGTGATTTTCATTGTAGATATTAAAGCATTGATTCAATTTGAATTACAGATCAACCACACACAACGTGCATTCTGTTTGTGAAAGCGTTTATTTACAAAACTGATAAACAAAGCAACAGAAAAAAAAACAGATTTGCTCAGAAAAGTTCAGAAATGTTTCTATTTATTCAGCAAAAATTGCGGCATTTTTGTGGCCATAGAGTTTATTTAAATTTGTCAAATGTAATCAGAATGGCGAGTAATGAAAGGAAGTCGTTAATTATTATTTGAACAAACAGAAAAAGCCAGACCAAACAATGTGTCACTTACGTATATCGCTAGATTATGGACTCTCTTTCATTCTGTTCGCTTTTTGGCGGAATTTTTTTCTTTTTAAACAAAAATGAGGAGAAACACTGATAACTGGCTATAAACAAAAATGTGTTGAAAGTAATTGTCGATTTTGATTTTTTTTTATATCGGCGATTTCAACCGCTGATTTTAACATCTTTGGCCTTTTAATAGTTATTGTTGTTTTGTTCAGTTTTTGAAGATTGATTTAAATTTAAAAAATGTAGAAAAATTCGATTTTTAATAAGATATTAGGGTTCTTATCATTGTTCTCAGTTAAGATACGGTTTAGTGTGTGTGTCGCGCGAAGACTAGAGTAAGAATTGACTATGGACGAGCCAGAGATTTGATAAGTTCGAAGCAAAGCGTGACGAAGCAAAGAAAAAAAACAACAAACAAACACTTTTCTTTCGATTTTTGTAGAAATTTTTGATTTTCAAACGTGTGCTTTACTTTTCGGAGTTTAATCTATTCAGCTATTGAATTTGTTTTCTTACCCATATTTCTTTTCTTTCTCTCTCTCTTGTATAGATTGATGGAAAGCTATTGTGCTGGCTATGTACATTATCATTTAAACGTGCCCTAGCCAAGGCGCGTCAGGTTGAAACGGATAATCGATTAACCAAAAAGCGTCCAAGCACGGACAAGCAACCGGTACCGCAAGGGAACCAGCAACAGCAACAAATCAAAGAGAATCACAAGAAAATCCAACGAACCGATTCATCGAAGCAAGTGTTGCCGGAAATACCGGAGAAAATTCCACGAAACAGCGGCGTATCCATCGATCCAAATAGTTCGGATCATGTGGTGGCGATGACACAGTTGAAAGAGCAAATAGCCAGCCTACAGAAGCGATTGGCGCAAAAAGATCGCGATCTGTTAGCCAAAGACAAACTAATGACCGAATTAAAGAGTAAAAATTTCACCAGTGAAAATGAGATGCGCAACAAAATGAAGGAGACGGAAAAGTTTTATGAAGCTAAAATTGATGTTCTAAATAAGAAATTGTCGTCGTTATTGAAGGAAGTAGCACAATTATCGAAAAATACGAAAAAAAGTGCGGTGACAACGGCGAGCAGTGCAAACAACACGGTGGCCGCGGTCAAAGAGAACAGTGGCAGCGGTTCGGCGTCTGGCTCCGGCACCGATAGTCCAACGACAAATTAGTGTGACTCTATGTATTTCCTTCTACTTCGTTTTTTTTTTATCTCTCGATTTACTTTCTTTTTTTTTTCTTAATTTTTTTTCCTCCTTCGATGGTTTATATATATAAGAAACTCAGAAACTTTTAGTTTTGCTCTAAATTTACACAAAAAAAAACTTGAAAAAAAAAATTATATTTCAAAATGTTCAGACGATATTTTACAAGCAATTGAAAGCATTCAAATGAAATTACCAATTTAAAACAAATAAAAAAAAAGAATGAAAATGAAATGACAAGCAACAAAAGAAATCTTCATTGACCATTTAATATTTTCTGAGACCTGCTGTTGTGTATTGTCAATATCAATTGAATGTTTTTACATGTTAAATTATAAAATGCAAAACATTTTTTTTTCTATTGTGCGTCAAAATCATTATCAATACAAAAAAAAACGTAATTCAATGTCAATGTTATCACTCACAACACACATACACAACAACTCACTCAACACGAATTGTGTCTCTGGAAATAAATCAGTTCACAAAACTTACTCATTTCTATAAAACTGGAACAATCATTTCAAAATTATTCGCATGCAAAACAAACAAAAAAAAACAGAACGAAAAACATTTGTTTTTTTTCTATATATATAAATATGTAATTGTATTTTTTTTTAAAAAACTTTCGTAAACATAAGAGACCACATCAACAAACCACATTGGCGAAATTGCCCATAATTTCTGTTTCAAAACGCTTAGATCAAACAATTGAAATAGTATAAAAGAAGAAAAACTCAAAAGAAATTTCTTTCGTTCCAACGATTGAATCTTTCAAATCTGTTCCACAGAGAAAAAAAAAACATTTTTTTTATTGTTCCAATGAACCAACGAACAAAACATCATTTCCTATGAAAATTTTCCTGCGCAATTTTTCGTTTTCGGTTTTGATTTTCATTCGTTTTTTTTTCTTCATTTTTTCTCTTCTTTTTCTTCATACAGGTTCGATATTGTTGTGCTCAAAATAAACACAGCAATTTCGCACTTTTCCCTTTTAGTAGCAATTACAATCTAGAATAATTTTTGAGAAAAAACAAAACAAAAGAAAAACCTACAAAAAAAACCAGCGGTCCTAAACAAAAATCACCGTTCAAAATGAAGTGAATATTTTTTTCCCGTTCTTTAAGTAAAAAAAATAGTTCTTATAAAAAAAATTAATGTATTATTCTCATAAATAAAAACAACATTTTAAAAATTAATTGCATTTCATCATTCGATTTACGATTTCTTTTTCTTCATTTTTTTCTTTTGTTCAAAACATCAAAAATCAAATTACTGAACTACTTTTGTTCAAACGGAATTCATTTTTTGTTCATAGGATTCGATGGCCATATACAATATTCGTTTAAGCAAACTTTCGACGGTATGATCATTGAAATTGTGGCGTTGAGCCATTAGCATTTTTGTTACGGGTGCTGAGGTTACGGCGGCCGTTGCCATTCCGGTGGCCGTCATCATTGGTGCGAATAAGGGTAAATTCAATCGATCGACTAAGCCCAACACGGCGTTGATAACGTATGCAACGAAGCCGAGTAAGCCCAAAAGAAGAAGAGAGAGATCGTTTCCATGCAACAGACCTAGCAAACAATTATGCCCGTGCAGTGTTGCGGCATGCTGATAATATGGTCGATCAAAATGGCCGTAGTGAAAGTGGCCATGTTTGGACAAATGCGTGGCCAGTGGAAGGATATCGGCATTTGAATGCTTGTGATCGGTTCCAAAGCTATCGTCGATTCGTTCACTGTTTTGTTGATTCATGTCCATATTTCGTATTTCCATTAAATTTCCATTGGTCGCGTTGAATTCTCTTGACGGTAACCGTTCCACTGTATTGAATTGCTTTGGAAACACAAACGGATGAATTTTTTTAATCAACGCTTCCGATCGGACATCAGCAGCAACAGCATCATCAATAGTCGACGATTTTCGCTGATACTCAATTTGCTCTGGTTCAAAATCATTCGCTGATACATCGTTCGATTGATTTGAAATCAGTACCGAGTAGCGGTCTTCGTTCGAACCATTTGGAACACTGGCAATTTTGTAGCCGCTAACACAAACAAACACAAGGACCAAACACTTGACGTTGAAATGCATTTTACCAGCAGTAACGAACACAAAATCACACTGAACTGAATTGGCAAAGGTGCACGCATGCTATTTATACCCAATTTTTGATGCTCGGCACATTTATCCAGTGTAGTCACCGTGTGACAAGAGTATTTCAATGTTTGTTCTTAGCCGCATCATTTCTTATCACACAATGTGGACGCATCAGTGTGTCACAAGTGCATCGCTTTGTTCAGTCGAAAAAATCAGAAAAACTGATTCAACTGCTCATTGAAATGCACACAAACAGGTGGAAAATAGAGAGAGAGAGAGATATTTGATCTAAATTTCTATATGCCATTGGACAGGCTGGTGATATGTTACCATTTTTACAAAGCAAATGTTTTTTTGTTGACTATTTCCCCATATCAAAAAATGTTCCGCATGGAAAACGTTCTCTTACCTTCAGCATGGTACACTGCACTCAACAGAGGTGTGACAGCGCGTGCAACCAGCACCATGTACATCAACAGTCATATTCTTGGCAAAATTTCTATGTCAAATCCAAAGGGGAAACCAGAATTATTCGATGCAGGCAAATAAAAAGAAAAAAACGCGGTGCAATTTTCTCGAAAAATCTTGTTATTCTTTATTTTTCATTCAAATTTGCTGTCTTAAATTGTCTTTTTGTTAATACAATAAGAATGAAATAATACAAATATTAGAATTAATTTTTTTTCCATTGTTTCATCAGTTTCATCTGCATCTGAATTGTATACCTTAATCCGAGAATTAAATATTTTGGTTTTTATTTCTTTTTGGTTAATACATTTGTTTTTTTCTTGTTGATTTTTTGTATTGAATGTTTGTATTTTATTTGTTTGTTTCAGAATTAGAAACGGAAGAAAATCTGTCTTTCTTTCCATTCGACTTGTTTTAGTGCTGTTTGTTTCTTCTCTTCTTCTCCATATTTTTTTTTTGTCTTCTCTCTCATTGTCAAATAAATACGATTCGCGAGATCGGGGATCGTTCAAATGGGAGAGAGATTGGGGGGAGGCTAAGCTTGAGTTTAAAATGTGTATAATATAAAATTATTGGTTAATATTGTTAATAACATGTATGTACTACAACATTTCTTTTTCTTCTGCATTCCGATAAATCAAGTAAAAAGACGCGGAGATATTTCTGGTGTGTTATTTTGTTGTTGTCTTTTGTATCAATCGCCAAAATGAATTATCAAAAAATATCATCAATGATTTCGATCGCACTTTTTTTTCTGTTGAACACACTGAATTACAGCAAAATTGTGTCCAATGCTCAAATATGGACGATCGATTTTGTTACCAGGAATAATGTCTCAAAAATGCATTTATTCAGGCAATGCTCGTCCAAATGGTCGGAATGTGAAATGTTTTTTTTTCTCACGTCTTCCGTGTTTTTGCTAGTGCATATTAGCCAGAAAATATCTCCAAAAAAAAAAACTAAACTTAGTCGGAATTCCATTTAATCGCTAGGATATTTGTTTCTTTATGTTCAGTATATTTTGAAATTTATCAATTCATCAATGGGCCTCAATGATGATAGAAGCGGATGGATGGGGTATTGTGCTAAAGATAGCTCAGTTTTTTCTTTCAGGTGGTAAAAAAAACCTCATCAAAATCTGGATATTACCGATTTGTACTGGCCGATCAGTGGCACACCGTGTGGAACATACTATCCAAAATTGAGCCATTTCTGGCCATACTCCCTTCGAAATGAGTTGTTTTCTTTAGTCTTTTTTTCTTTGTCTACGGCATTTGCATGAGTAGTTTTTATCTGTATAATATTTCTACAATATGATTGTTTTTGTTCATTTTTTGTTGCTGCTGCTTTATTCATTTGGATGCGTCGTTCAGTTATTTATTAATTTTTTTTTCTTCGATTAGATCTAAGGGCGCATTTCGGTTGAAAAACACAATTTCAATAAAACGTCAACTTATTGCTTCAAATATTCAGATAGGTGTTTTTTTTGTCTTTCAATTTATTGAGAACGCACCAAAAATGTGTCTATGTACTAATAATACGTTATTTCCCGTATCAATATTATCATAACGTCTTTTTAAAATCTAGAAACAGCTTTTGTTTGCTATATATTTTTTTTTACTTAGTTTTTTTTCCCTTCATCTCTCCTTTTTAATCAATCGGCTCGAATAATTTTTTTTTTAATTTCTTTGGGCTCCAAAAAGAGTGTGTGTATCATATTTTGGGTGAACTTTATATCCATTCGACTTTTTTTTACAAGTAATTTTATGTATGGGTGGTTTTTTTTGCTTTTGATTTTGTATACGAGAGGTTGTTATAGTATAAAATATCTTAAATATTCAATTTCTTGCTTGTTCACTTCATCATAATCACTGATGTCTTTTTTTCTTCTTCTTGTTTGTCAATCATTTTTTGGTTTTGCGTTTGTCATCAAAAATCATTCACTTATACATCTACAGCTTTGTGGTTGATTTCATATGTACTTCGGTTATCATTTCCAAATATGTATTTATGCTCTAAATTGGTTTTCTTCTTTCATAAATATGTTTCATTTTCATTCCGTTTCGACGTATTTTTCATCAATTTTGTTCATAAATTTGTCGAAAAAAAGAACACAATGTCAAAAATTTTGGTTTGCGGTTTTATGTTGCTGTATTTTTCTGTTTTTGCTTTTAGAATCCACATTGATTTGTTTTCCTCTTTCAATCGATTTCGATTAATTTTTAGACCATTTGTTCTTGCTCTTTTTGCTTGCTCTTTTGATTATGTCTTGTTTCATCAAAGTTGTTTAGGTTTTTTTTTTGGTTTTGTCTTTAGATAGATATGTGCCGCAGAATACAATTTTACATTAAAAATTATTGTTCCGAAATTGTTTGTTACGTATATTGTTTCTCTTTCTTTTGAAATGGATTTTTTTTTGTTCATTCTTGTTTTGCTCAATCGTCAGTCAAGTGATATTCGAAATGAAATTTCGCGTTTTTTTTTGCTTTCGCCTTTTTCATTTTTGTTTTTATAAATAATTTCGTCTATTGCGAGCGCTGAAAACATTCATAGATTGCATTGAAGTTGTGACCCAATCGCTTGTTTTATTAAAATGTAAAAAGATGAAAAAATAAACAAACCAAAAAAGTACATTACCCACAAAAAAAAACTCAGAAAACACACTGAAAAAAATAAATAATCAAAAACAACTAAAATGTGTACAAAAATGAAGAAATAAAAAGTCGTTGGCAATTATTTTTTATTTAAACTTTTATTACAAATGTTCATGTTTACTCGGTTTATTCTCAATACTTGTTCTTCTTCTTCTTCATCGTTTTTTTTAAATTGAAGTAATAAGAGTAGATATACTTAGCAAAGAAAAAAAATGATTGAAAATCTAAAATGGCAATTGCTCTTACATGTAAAAAAATGAATTCATCACTCATCAAAGTTTTTGTTTTACCGCATCAATGGCTTAGTTTAGGTATTATTTTCTTTTCGATTTTTTTTTGTTTTGCTTTTTTCCAGTTTTTTTTTTCTTCTCAATAAAAGTCTGTCTTTTCTCAATCAGTTTTGGAATTTATGTGTCCTTTGTATTTGAAAGTGAATGAAAAAACGGATGAACGTTTCGTTGCCAGATTCAAAAATAAATTAAGACCAATAGTACTACGCTCTCATTGAAGAGATGTGAATTTTGCGTGGAAATTTTTTCAATCGAACAACTAAATCGGAATCAAAAAAAGAGTGTGCACGATCAATTGAAAGTCATGTGCTGACGGTCGGGGTGGATATAGAGAAATGCATGTTCAAAGCAAATATGGTTTTTTTTTCTCATTTTCTCTTCATTAATTTTATGTATACAAATTTGAAGCGGGACAAAGTTATACACACTTGAAAAAAAAATTCATTACGTTTTATTCATACTTTTGTGGTTTTGTCAATTTTGACGTGATTAATTTTACGATTAATAATGCATGGTTTTTCTTCGTTCATTTTCTCCTAACTCTGGTTCATTTGTTCAATAGATATCTGCTTCCCTATCTGGTTGTAGTCATTGTGTCGGTGTCGCCGCGATCTCGGCACTTAAAATTATTTAACTTTAAAATGAAAGAAAAAAAAAAGAGTTTTCTTAAACGATTTGCTTTCTTTTTCTTCTTTTTCTTTTGTTCTTCTCCTAGAAAATGGCAAGATGAGTGTTTGGTTCAATTCATTTGATTCCGGAATTTAATTCAATTCCGGTGTTGGTATTGTTATTGTGTGACAAGAAATTATAAAACTAATCACCCTCAATTTTAATGGTTACAAAAAACATTATTCGAAAATTATAAATTTTTAAAAGAAAAGTTTTGATGCAAAATTGTCTTTAAAAAGAGCAGAGGGAAATAAAAATGTGATATTTTCATAAGAAATTTTCATCGAAAATCAATATGGTTAGTATTTCCTCTGCTTTAATCTCTTCAGTTGGTTTGTTATTTTCCTTTTATTTTTGTGTGTTTTTTTTTCGCGGGTGGTAGTCTTGTAAGTATTTTTGTTGTTTATTTGTTTGTTTGTTAACATGAAATTTGTACTTTCGGCTTTGATAAATATTGTGTTGTATTGGCTCTAAATGTAATATGTCTTTTGGTGATGGCTCATAGATGGTGCCGTTTTGTGTGTATTATGTGATTCTCTCACTGATGCTCTTCCCATCGGCAAGAGCTAATATCAAATGGATTTTGAGTATGACGCGTTTTTTTTTTCTTGTATCTTTGTGTTTTCTTTTCTATTTATTTTGAGAATTTGTCTTTTGGGGGTGATTGGTTTTCAGTTGTTGTTTCTATTTCAAATATTCATTGTTACGTTGGAAATACCATACAATCTCGCTAAATTTAATTAGATTTAATGTTGAATTCAATAATAATAATTAATAAATGCGCATAAAATAATTTATAAATTATATTTATATATACACAGCGAAATGCGATATTCGGTGTATTATTTTAACAATCGAATGAGATATTGATTCAGATTTTACACAATGTCTTTAAAAAAAAGCTTGTAATACTTGTTTACTGTGTGTATGTGAGTGAGTAAGTGAGTGAGTGAGTGTGATGGAAAGAAAATTAATCGATTGAAATGAAATTAACGGAATTTGTGTCAGCGCGCGCTTGTCTCAACTTTCGCATGAATGTCACAGGCTTGTTTCATTTTATATTAGATGTGTGTGTGTGTGTGTATGTGTGTGGATTGATCGATTATCACATTGCCGTAATTTATTGTTGATTCGATTGCGTGATGATGGAAAATGGAAAATCAATGTATTTGTGCGTATCAAGCACTTTACAATTCAAAACGATCAGCACCAAACTAAAGTGGCTCATCGTCATCATCGCCAAAATGTTTACATTTGCAACCGATCCATTTCCAATTCCTCAATCTTTCGTTCACCTATGAAAATTTATTACTTTCTTCTTTTATTGCTACGGCGATGTCTGGCGTTTTAACGTCTTGTTTGTCTTTTTTCGCTTCAGCGGCTTTGGATCGGGATTTTCTTGGTTTTGCCTTTGATTTGCCACTTTTGCTGTTCGATTTTGCGGCGGGCGCTTCAATTTTTGGCTCTTCAACCGGTGGTAATGTGATACCGAGACGCTTCAAACGCATCTTTTCCTCCCATTCTTCGATACCGTGCCGATGACGATTCAAATTCCGATGCTGATAGAAAATTAATGTGATTCGCGTTGGATTTTTACGATTTGGTTTTTTCAACGATGACGTTGCGTGCATTTCATGCTTGGCACATTCAATTAACACAGAACCATGCTCAAGTGCGATACCAATACCACCCAATGTAGTATCTTGAAAGCAATCGAGATTTTCGTTAATCTCGGTAATTTCACCGATGGGTTCGGGCTTTTGCACGATTGGTTCTTCAATCTTTTCAACGGGCTGTGGTGTGGGCACGGCCGTCGGTGACATATGCTCCGACAAACCGGATAAATTGGTGAGCGTCGGTTCGGTAGAATTGTTTGACTGGGAATTGGATAAGGGTGGCGTTGTTACGGTCGGTGCGGCAACTGGGACAGCTGATGGAGCAGCCGGTGAGAATAGATTCCAATTTGGCGGCGGTGTTTGCGTTTGAGGTAATTGACCAACCGGTGCATGATGGTAAATGTCATACGGATTATATGGCTGATGATGCGGATGATGTGGCGTATAGAAATTGTAACGCAATTTATCATTGTTATAGTAATCCAAATTGTTGTAATGATGCGTTTGATTGTATGTTGGCGTCGAATATGTTGGATATATTGGATATGCCGGCTGAGTCGAATGATGATAACCATAGGCTGGATAGTCTACAGAAAAAAAAAACAACAACAACAACAACAATACACATAACATTCCAGTTAAAGATTCCGAAATTTTTGTTTGAATTTTCGCATTAATGCTCTGATCGATCCATTCCTTACCTTGTGGTTGTTGTCTTTGCATTTTTGTAACATCTACAACGCTCGGACTAAACGCTGAGCCACTATTATTGGCGTTAATGATTGTTGTTGAGTCGGGATTTTCTTCGCTGCCGCGACTTTTCACTTGTTCATTTCGGTCAGCTGGCGATGGATAGCCGTATTCCATGGCATGCGGTGGAATCCACTGTTGATTATAATAATTTCGTTTGTCAATGTATGAACCAGTTGCATAATCATAAGAATATGGAGAGTCTAATACGGTGCTTGATATCTGGTTGGACTGCAGTTGCGCATCGGTAAAGTTGTCAATCATCGATGCCATATTGATAAGATTCGAATTTGAATTCATCATGCTATTTTGGTTTGGTGCCGAAAATGCGCTATGATTTGATGGGCTGCCACTAGTATTGCTACTGTTGCTGCCAATATTAAGATTGTTAATGGTACTGGCTGTGCTTGGCGTTCCAGCTCGTGACAGCGGATGACTTGGGCTTGACTGTTGCTGCAAATGAAGCAAAACAAAATCGATCGATAAGACTTGCAAGTTCATAATGAATATATTTCAATTCTTTTTTTTTTCGTTCATTTTCAAGCAGAAAATTCAGAAATTGAAAAATCCTACCTGCTTCGACTGACTCTTGTTGCTTTTCTTGCCATTCTCCTTTTTAACAGCGCCCGGTGTGGGTGGGGCTGGAGTCACTGCAGGAGTTGGCGGAGCAGTCTCTTCGGTGGGTGTGCCTGGTTCATCGTCCGGCATATCTTTGCCATTACGCTTTTTACCATGCCGACGACAAGGCAACAGTGGAGTCGCACGAACGCGAACTTCACATGGAAATCTACGCATATTGAATCGAAAGAAACGAGCAATTTAGTCAACATTGATGCATTTTCAACGTAAATGACGGTGTATTTTCAAAGCGAATCGATAGAAATTCGGAAGAAAATCATACAAAACTCACTTCTCGAGCACTTGAACGCAGCCAGTTTTGTGCTTATCTTTCTGCACATCAGCACTGTCGAATTCATCGGTTGTGTCCATTACGTATAACGGTAGGATATGCAATTGCTCATCATCGGGTGGCATTCCGGGTGGTTTTGGTTTTAATAAGCCCACCTGAACGGTACAGCCATCTTGCATATTATGCAAATCGCGATGTGCGTGAGCACAAAAGTCCATACATGTGGTAACACCTAACCGAGAAAAAAAACACATTGCGGTTATCGTTTTTGTTTTATAGATTGACGTTCGAAAATTAATCGTTTTGCAAACAACAACTCAACAAGAAGAAACGAAAAATGGATTTTGATGATATTACCTGAAAATGGTTTGCCTGCTTTCAATCCCAGCCGACAGTCAGGTGCTTCGTTTTCATATTTACATTGATTTTCATATGCTTTTGGTGCGAGTGTTTTGTACAGTGGACTCAACATGGTGGCCAGTACATTCATGTGCTCTTCAATTTCCGACTCCTCACTTTTCACCGACAAACGGAATTTGCGCACGGTTTTTGATCGCGCATATTTGCAGCCATTGTAGTACATTGACCATGAACAGCCAAACGAAAATGATGCACCACTTGTTTCGGGATCTAAACCTATTTCGTTCGAAATAATTTTACACGTATTAGAACCACAATGGTAAAAACACAATTCGAATAAAGAAAAATTATCAAAAATTACCTTGACATGCGCATGTTCGATTTTCATTGGTCGCACAACGGCGAGTCGTGGGCAATCCAAATTTATTCAACTTGTGAATGAGCAATCGATATGAATTGTCGGCTTCATGCTTTGGCACACCTTCCCAAGCGACAATACAAACAACAATAAATGTTGCATTACATCTGCAAGCAGAACGAACGTAATTTGGGGGTTAGGCGTGTTTGGATAAACAAAGATAAACAATTTCGTTGATTTCTATCAAAACCTCAACTTACTTATGGCCTTGTCGACGTTTTACGATGCACAAGATCTTCTCTTCGCTGTCAACACGGCGAATAATCCATTTGGCCAATGGGCAACCCTGTGATGTTTTCCCCTCTTTACCGGAATAAATGACCTTTTCAATGCGAAGCTGTCGACCACGAATGCCGATGCGATTCTCCATATTGGCACGAAGTTCGGCCAACGATGAAGCAGCACCCAAATGCGTATAATAGCTACCCGGTTCGGGCGGTGTTTTTTCATCGGGTCCGAAGCAATCGCAATCAGGCACTTCCGGTTTCATTCCCTTTTCCGTTCGATCGATCGGCAATTGGGCCATATCGGTGCTTGTGTGCGATTTTTCCAAATCCATATCATCATTGGTTGATAGTTTGTCAGTACTCAAATGATCTTTATTGAGTGTTGAACCCTGTTTTTGTGGATAATATGAAATGCCGTTAAATGCTTGTTGTGATTGTTGTGATTGTTGTTGTTGTTGTTGTGGTTGATGTTGATGGTGGTGTTGCTGTTGCACCGATGGCTGTTGCTCAAGCTGACTGAGGCTTGTCGTGCCATTTTCATCATAAAATGCAGAAAATCTAGGTTCATTCGAACTCTTACTTACGTCATCAATTTTATGATTTTTAATACCATCTGCGGTATGATGACCGCTGCTTGTGCTATCCGTGAAACGGCCATGATTTGGATACGTATGGATTGGTATGTCCTTCTCATAGTTGGTCAATTTGGTGAGATCGGGATTTTTTGTATCCGTTTCCTTGTCCGTATCACGCATAGCATATGGTTTGATGTCTTGACTTTCATTCGATGACATCGATTGCTGGTTGTTATTGCAATTTGTTTCCGCAGATGGTATTGAACTAAAATTTGGCACCCCTGTTGAATTGTATGGACTATTTGGATAGGCTTGATGATGTGAATGATGATGATATGCAGAGCTTGAATATGGTGGATAGTTGCCATAGTTTTGGCCATATTCCGATTGATGTGTCACGGTGGCCGTTGCTGTGCCACCCGCTCCCGAATTATTCTGACTTTGACAATAGTCCGCATAATTGATGAAATTTTGATAATTACGTTCGTAGCCCTCCATTTTGACTTGGGCCGATGGATAGACGCCGCCTGATCCGGGCATTGGATACGGTTGCCGTGGCGGTGGTATCGTTGACAATGGTTCTTGTTTCAATGGTTTCGAACCCAAGCCACCACCGTACAAAAAACTGTTGCTATTCGGTGGCTTTGCCGCAGCGGTGACCGGATCAAATCCTTCGGGTGTTTGATATGGATTCAATGGATCTGGCGTGTGTACGCTTGGCATGTATGGCGATGGTGAACTATTCTCATATTTTGCATTCGTTCCATATGCACTCGGGTATAAATCATTGCCTTTGTTAAAGTTTGGCATAAAACTGGAAGATTTTTTCTCATCGGGTGTTGATTGCTTTGCTGGCGGCTGTGATTGTGCTGACGCATTTGGTTTCTTTCGTTGCCGTTTTGGCGCTGGTTTTTTCACGGGTTTATCGGAATCTAATAATTTTGGTGATGATTTATTTTTGCTATTGATGATATCTGGAGCCTGTTGCTGTTGCGGCGGTTGAAAGTCATCGGGCGGTTTATTTGCTTCGGCCGCTGCGGTTGACTTCCAATGCGGTGGAACGCCACCACCTCCGTTTGGTTCAACATTTAAATTTGGTTGAACCGACGATAAACACATATCGGCACTTGGGCTATTGATTGCCAAGTTACCGTCTGTGTTTAAGTCTCGGAGATGGTGGCTATACGATAAAAAATGACCGGTCTTGTTGTTAGCATCCAAGCCGGACATTTGTTGTTGTTGCTGCGATGATGGCACTCCGTTTGTATGCGTTTTCCAAGGACTTATGCCATCCGTCATAGGCTGTCGCGTACCATTCGTTTGCGCTTTCCAATGTATCCCATTCGTATCCGTCTTCCAATGCATGCCATGCTGAAGCGATTGTGGCTGCTGTTGCTGCTGTTGTTGTTGCTGTTGCTGTTGCTGTTGCTGTTGTTGTTGTTGCTGCTGCTGCTGTTGTGGAGTATTCTGATTTTGTTGTGATTGTTGACCTGCATTCTGTTGTTGTCCGCCGAATTCGCCTGAGTACCCGTTACAATTGAGTGAGTGCTGTGGCGGAACAACGCTGCTCACTCGCGGATACCCAGGCATTTCGTTTCCCGATAGCGAGGAAGACATGCGTGCTAAATCGAATCAAATACACAGAGAAAAAATAACACATTGACATAAGCACATCTCTCGTTTTGCCCAATTCAAACCGGATCAATATGAAATTTTCAAGAAAAAAACAGATGAAGAAAAGAAACAATATTCTAATACTCACACTTATTCAAGTCATTCTGTCCTCCTAAAAGCATTGGTGATGGGCCTGTGGTTACTTGGCCTGCATATGAAGCAGTTGGCGCAAAGCTGACACTTTGCAATGACACTTGATTTATTGGTGGAATTTGATTGCTTTGAAAATCGTATCGCTGAACTGGTGCTGCATACGAACGGCCATAGTTTGGATCAAAACTGAGGCCACTCTGTACATATCCAGTTGGCTGGTAAGCAGCATAGCCCTGTGTAAGCAATGAAGTCAGAGAGTAAAGATTAAAATACAGAGAATAATTTTAATAAAATATTCATGATAAAACCGCTTTTGCAATGACGATTACTATGAAAAAGTTCAATGGAGTCGGCAACGGCCAACGAATACTTACTTGTGGTTGGAAATCGATTGAGTTCAGTGCCGATATTCCGGGCGTATTTTGTGGAATCTGTTGGATAAATTGATTCTGCCATCCTTGAGATGGATCTGCTTGCCATGTTGGATAGAATGCCATTGGTGTCTGCACAGAAAGAAACAAGAAAAAAAACAACATTGAAATCATGGTTTATTAGTTCAATCACTTCAAAAAAAAAGAAGAAAAGAATACAGTCCACAATCTAGAGTTGATGCTTTTAAATGTACAATGTGTTTAAATGAATCACAAATACGCGTTTATGCCATCACAACGTCATCGAATAAAAAATTCAATCATGTTTACAAAAGTTCGTGTTTTTTTCGTTGTTGATTAATTTTCCATGGGTGTTTGGCTTTTTTTCCCTCTCGTTTTATCTCGTTTCGTTCAATTATGTGTTGGTTTCTTTTTATATTTTCTTTGCATACATTGCAAATTTCAAAGAAAATTCATATTCTTCCATTCGGTGGATACGATTCACGGTGTGCAGTGAACATCACATGTCATGCAAAAACAACAACAGCGAACAAAAAACATACGACAAACCATGCCACCGAAAAAACATACACGAAAAATATCACGATCTTTCGATTTTTGCCACTGTTGTGCTGTGTGTCGATATAGATGTACAGATGTGTGCTTTGCAGAAAAAGCATCACACAATGTACACACACACACACACAATGTGCAATGTACCGAGTTTCGGAAAAGAAAAACACGAAAGAGAAGAGAGAGAGAGAGAACGAGAGAAATTATTTCGAGCATTATAAAATATTAAAAAGTTTCATTAAAAATGTTATTCCGACGAATAAATACATACATAATCAAACATTAAAGTTTAATTTAAAAATAAATGGGAAAAGTAAAAACCAAAAGTGGTGTGTATGGGATGAGCGTAAGCGTGAGCGCGCGTACATCCACGATACAAAAGCGCACAATACAATTTAGTATGCCGGAGTAGGAGAGTGAAGCTGGGAGAGTTACAGAGAGACAGAGAGAGTGTGTGTAAGAGCAAAGAAGGGCTAAATGTGTGTGATGCGATTTCTGCACTTGCCACGAACCATACAGTTGAACGAACAAGCGAACGAACGAACGAACGAACGAGCGATTGAATATCAAGCAAAACGGTCCCTGTCTCATCGACCAACCGAGAAGAAGACACCACACATACACACAAGCGGAAGCAACGGAAAATAAAATAGGGAGAGACCAAAGTGAAGTCTAGAGATTTTACAAGACATAATGAAAATAAGCATAATAAGAAAATAACACAGCAAATGTTCGTTTCTTTGATGCGATACGAGGCAGTCTTTTCTCTCTCCCTCTCTTTTTCTCTGTTTTCCCTCTCTCTCTCTCTCTCACGATGATAGCCTTTGAAAATACTGTCAAAATGGTAAACAAATTTCAACCGAGGATATTTCATAGCAAAACGGCCAAATGTTTCTAATTTCATTTAAATTAATAAATAAATATCTTTCGGCATCATATGCATACGAACATAAAATAATTTTTTTTTCCGTTGCTGGTCGTTTCGTTCGTTTGAGGATTCAAATTGCATGTTGTGTGGCGGTGTTGTGTGAGTCTGTATATGTTATAAGCGCCCGTTCGCATGTTCTCTTCTCACTCGACAGTGTGTTTTGATTGTATTAAAAAACGAGTAAAGTCTTTTATGTATTTTGATTGGAAGCAATCCATGGAACGGGGCTACACTTATTTCCCTCGATTTATGCCATTATATTAGGTGGTTGTGTGTGCGATTTTTTTTTCTTCCGTTGTTGTGTATTGGCGGCTGCTTAAATTGCCTCCACACACCACCACCACCACCATCCATCCCTCATCTCGCCCACCACCCCAAACCCAATCGTATACAATTTACAAAGGAAATTGTATGTAAATTTTTGGCATTATGCAAAAGAACGGCATTTTTCATCGTGCAAACAGAGTATAGCACACATAGCACAGCCACCAACAAATGCCGAACAAGGAAGGATCGCGCGTTTTGCAAAAGATACCAGCAATCCTGACGACTGACGCAACAAAAAGAAAGAAGAAACTAAAACGGAAAAAATGGCAAATATTTTTCCGTAAATATTGGTTAAATCATGCATGTATTGTAAATGGTTTTCTCCAGAGAGCGAACGAAAGAATGAACAACAATGCGATGTGATGGTACATATTCGGAAGGTGAATTAACAAGAAAAAAAAACACGGTTTTGTTCCGTATTTTGTACGTTTCTTTTCTCGTCAGAGATTCACATATTTCCATTGCTGGTACCAATTCGAGTGGATTAAGAAGCTCTTGACGATTTCAAATGAACGTACTCTACATTCCAACGCTTCTTGTTCTCACTCTCTTTTTCTTTCAAATTTAAATCAAATTCATTGAAATTATGATATGAATGCTCTAATTTGAAAAAAAAATTCAACGACGTACAATTTTGTTAAAATAGTTAATTTTCTACCCAGAAAAAATAGAGTTTTGCATAAAAACGCATGGTTTAATGCTGAAAATAATTGCTTGGATTTAAATAGACACATCAAAAAGAAATTTATTTGCATTAAAACCCTTTATAATTTCACCATTATATAAAGAGATAGGACGAGAGAGAGAGAGAGAGAGAGAGAGAGAGAAAGGGTGAAAAAATAAACGCAGAATATTCATTATAACGCTTTGGTTGGTTGGTTGCTCTGATTTAAATTTGGTTGACCAATTTTCAGGTTTTTGGCGTATACAACTTAAAGACCAAAACAAAGAGGCAATTTCCGACGCTAACGACAAGTTTAATCTCATTTTTATAATACCGAAACAAATGTGGCCGGGAAATTTTTGTTTGCAAACAACTTTCACATTTTGGTCGCATCATCTCTCTTCTTCTTCTTCTTCTTCTTCAGCGCTGTGAGAGTGCGAGAGCGATGTTTGTTCATTTTCACAAGAATAGTGTGATATTTTTTTGATATTGCAGTGTGTGAGAGGATCCACGTCATTGTATGTATGTGTGTATGTTGCGAGCTCTTGTTTCATTTCAATTAGACTTCATAGCCACTAAATTTTAGCTTAAAATTTGTGTGTTTTTGCCGTCATTTTATTTGCATCATTATCTTTGGTTCTTGTAATTTTTCGCTTCATACATTTGCCAGCGGCCCATTCGCAAATGAAACAACAGAAACATTGATGCAAGCAAACAATGAAACAAGAGAATCGAATAAAAAAAAATTCCCCCAGAAAAACACGACGAGAAGAAAAAAAACAGCAACAACAAAATGCGAACACAGTATCGCGAAAGCATCACCAGCACGAGCGAAAGACACCGAAATTGTAATAATAATAAGAAAATGTAAATATGTTAAAATGTAAATTTGGTGCGCAAAGCAATTGCGCATTTTCGATTTGATGATGATGCCGCGCCGCGCGAGAAAAACAGAGATTCGAGAGAGAGAGAGAGAGAGAGAGAGAGAGAGGGGGAAGAGGAAAGCAATCCACTGACTCACTCACTCTATTTTCATTCAATTTATTCTGCTTTTGTGACTTTATTCTACATTGGACGATATAGAAAATGGAATAATGGTGTTTATAGATTGAATCGAGTGTGTTCCGAAGTGGAATACACTAACAAAATGGAATATATTCTGTCTCTCTTAGTCCAACTCACACACACACACAGACACACAGTGGCTTTTGAAAACTGTATAACGACACCAAATCAAAATAGATGGATCGTCGAATTGAAATGGACTTATTGCAGAAAGAGAGAAATTCACAGAGTGAACGAGGAAAAATTCGACGGGGTTATCCTACGTTTGCCACATCAAATGCATTGAAAGCAAACAATTATACTGGCTAATTTATAACTAAATTAATGGCACGCACAAGCACAGCCAAAATACGCTAAGTCAGTCATTGATCATTAGCATCAAAGACAAAGATTTCATTTTCGTTATCATGTCTCACAGTCAAAATTTCCCTCTGTGTTCTTCTCTTTCTCTTTCTCTCTCTCTCTCTCTCTCTCTCTCTCTCTCTCTCTCTCTCTCTCT